ACAGTTTATCTCCATCAAAACTCATCTGTTTACCTATACGGTTAACCATAATCAATAAACATCGTAGCGCCGTTTGACGACTTAATCCATTTCCTGGCCTTCGCGCCCTTGACTTTAACACCTTCCTTCATCACCTTCATTTCTTATGAACCACCAGCATTCGCTAGAAACACCTTAGGATGAGCGTGCTTTTTGACATGGTGCGTCCGAAGTTCACGCCTTCGGACGCACCATGGTCAATGCATCCGGTCTCACCGGAATCATTTCCATCGCATGAAATTCATATTCGATTACACCGAAAGCGTAGTCTCTGCGATCCACACCATATTTACTGTAACCAGCTCATGCGCAATTATTTCCGTAGTGAATGCTTTAAAACCAACTTCGTAGAGGTGCAAGAAGCCATTAATGATCAGGTTGGAGTTTACGCTATTGCCAACATGGTGGTAACTATGAAAGTCCACATCTTCAGAGATGAGCTGTGCAACTCCACTTGCAGCGGCGTCGACGGACTCAGTGAAAGACAAGGCCAAGAACGAATGCCACCCCAAACTCGAAGTCGGCTTGATCAGCTTAGGAAACACAATGATCTTTTATCGACTGTAAAATGAAGGCTATCGAACTATCATGCGACTATTTTCAAGACTGGCAAAAGACTTCCACATCATCCGATGTAATAAATATGATAGCTGAAGGTATCGCATGTATTCTAAACGAAGGAAGCCGAACTAACTTAGCTCAGAAGCATCTGAAAAGGAAAGCCTTTAACTTAGTTAATAATGTCTACGCGGCATATGATCTGAATATATTACGAAAGCAACTTTTGGTATATTTGCTTGTCACAGTCTCGTAAAGGAATTGTTATTAAGTACCGTTTCTAAATGCCACAATGTCAAAAACGGTAGTACTTTGAAGAAAATTATCGACCTTGGAATCTGCCCATATACTGTTGTTACGTATGTTCTCGTGCGTCTTTAAAGTTCCAGTACACAGAAAAGATCTTCAGAGCTTTCTGTGACTGTGTAAATGTTAGGTTTTTTCAAGAACTTGTACAGTAAAAAAAAGGTTTCGCCTTTTTTTTTGTTGTACAAGTTCTTGAATCCACCTCTTCCCTATAGCATCAAGGATACCCTTATTTGAGTCTTGCTAGTTTGATCTAGGTTCCCATTAGGGGATCTATTAAACGGTTATTATGGTAACAATACGCCATGATGACCATTTACGAACGCTCAAAATGCTAGTGCCTGCTAACTCTTGCTGTGTTTTTTTTAGTTTTTGTTTTGTAGCATATGACACTGTGAAAGAGCTGTTAATAAACAATTCTATTAATAATTCAATTTTGACGGAACTCTCTAGTTGAACGCAATGGTTCTCAACAATCGTTAACAGAGGATAATTAATGCAACTTGATGATTACGCATTCCATTGATTCCGTTTATCGTTAGACAGGTGAACGAGTGTAAGACCAATCCGCCATCTGAAGTCGAATTAAGTCTTCCTACGACATTCAGCAAAGCCTACTCCATTTTAAGCAAAAAATATTAGACATTTTTGCTTAAAATTGACATTTTTTTTTATTAGGTTAAGATTTTTTTTGCATTGTTCGATCGACACTCACTCATACTTATCTCGCAGTATGTTTCGCGTCAAACTGTTAGTATGATTGCATTTGTTAGCATTTCACGGTGAACTATAAAGGAGTAACTAAGCATATGGGATTTGTCTGTATCAATTATTTTAAGCTACTTCTCGGCCAAAAATCTTTGTCTTATTCACATGCTTAAATCATTATCCCATAATAATCTTTGCTGAATCTAAATAAATAGAGGTTTTCCTATGCATTGTCATGCATCAACTTCTAGCACACGGATAGCTTAACGTAAGTTCTGGTAAACGCAAGGGTCGCAAAGAGAACGCAATCGAACCCAAACGTAGCGAAAATCGCTTCGAGGAACATAAATCGACAGCTCCGAACGTCGAGCTGCTAGCTAATACTTAAACTGATATGACCTGATGCAAACATTTCTTGACAGTTTGAAGAATGTTACCTAAAAATTTGAGAGTCTACACTTCAATCTGTTACTTTTAATTTTTATGTCGCTCTCTGCTGCTGTAACATGTAAAATTTTGAAGTGACATTGTTCAAATCGCTGCGGAATTTTTGCCCTGGTTATAATGCAGAATGTTTAATCTATTTCAAAAAATATTATTGAAACATATGCCTGGAAATAGTGCTTACTTTAGTCAAAGCGCGTGTGGTATTTAGCCAATTTCTGCGTTAGACTACTATTCAATAGTGGTTAAGGAAAAAAATTAATGCGATCGTTTATTTATCTTTCTTAAAACAGTGTTTTTTTTTGTTACTGAACATAATCAACTTATTTTTCGCTTCGAGGGTATCGCCAGTCTAATGATGTTTGGACTGAACATCCTTGGAATAAATAATACGGACGAGAGTAGTTAAAACGATTAAATGTTTACAGAGCGATCTGAACAACCGGTTACTTCATTTGTAGGTACAAGTAAAGTATGAATCAAGATCACGAAAGTGTGTAAAGTCAATACTAATAGCAATCGATTATTGATTTATGGTCATTGGAAATGAAGGGCATAATCAAATAAGTACCATTAGAGCTTATCTAGCCGATGTTTATTTGGCACACCCGACTTCTTTGTTCGCAAGTCGCATAGAAGAAGAATAGCATAAGGCTATAGAACCGCGGCTTGTTACGCTTTCGTACGGTTATCGCACCTGTTTGATGTGATCAAAATGGAAGATTGCGACGCACTGCAATGATAAAGCCCAAGCAGGAATCCGCTTGTTCAGTTGTGATCGCCTTTTTCGGACCGATCAGACAACCCGCTGGGCGTCTAGTTAGGAAAATGCAATACTCACATGAATTTTGCGTATAGAAGTACAGATCTGGCTGTCGTGAAGTGGCTCATTTTAGTACCTTGTGGGTCCCGCCGAACCGAGGGGTCCCTATCGCATTTTGGGTTTGAAGATTATTTGCCTATGGAAACATACGAGGATATTTGTTAACTTAGTTTTATGTAAGTGGAATATTGCTGCTCGATATGAAAATGTTCAAAGGAATTGTGCTTTAGGGAATACCTATTCTAGAAAACATTTAGCTTTTCATATTTTCAGATAGAGGAAAAACTCAGCTACACATACGTTTCATATGAAGAGGTAAGAAATAAAGCATATGTTTACTTTGGTGAGTACTTTTATATACTTTCGCTGTTTCTCAATTTAGCGGTGTTTCGTGAATGGTATAAAGCCTGTCTAAAATTCTCTGACCAAGATACCTTCGATACCATGCATGCTCCATAGAGAGCCTCTGTGTAATCAAATTCAACTTAGGTTATTTTTAATATATTTGGACTCAGTCTATTATATAATTGAATCTAGATTAATGTCACTCAACAGATATCCTCTTGGACAAAGTACAGTACATCTTTATACTTATTTACATCTATAGTAAACCAAAAAGAAAATAAGTATTAAACCACTGAATCATATTGCTTTACCACAATTATCGTTCATGATTTTTTAAAACGATTCATCGGAAAAGAGAGGCGCCTGGCACCTCGCAAATTTACGCATGCAGCTTTTCCATCCATGACCAGGCAATCTCTTTAACTCAGGGTTAAATAAAGCAATCGAGAATCAACTCCGAACACTACCACTATATTGACTACGGCCACCTTCAGCATTAGTTATTACACGTCCACATGGGATACCTCGGCGTGGGGATGAGTCATGCCGCACCTGCAAATGATGCCGCTACCGCCGCAAAAAGGGCAGCAGCGTTGGCTGTTTGGTCGCGCAATGCGCATCGCTTGCCAACACTTCTGTTGGCAGAATGTGGGCCCCAACAAATGTCAGAGATCGAATCCAATGGCAGCGTACGGCTAACCTCGCTATCGCCGCTGGTAAAAGTGCATCTTATCGACGGCAGTAGTGGTGTTATTAATGGTGATGTTGTTGATGCTGATAAGGCCTGTTCGAGGAGACCATTGACTTCTTCCATTCAACTTAGCTACCCCAAGCGGTAGATCGCTAGATAGCCAGAAAATTGGTTGCGGGAGAGAAATCAGTATCCTAATATTATTATTATTATGCTGAGACTATCAGTAGAGGCTGCGCGGTCTACGATCGCATTGGCAGGGTTGCCAAATCAAATTGTTGCCTGAATCTATTTCATTCATAGGCATGTACGCACTCGAGGCATAAGATACGCAAACATTAATTGTAATACTGTATAGCCGTTTAACCTTTCAATACGAGGTTTTGGGTTTAAATGGCAAATGTATGCATAGTATTATATCGTGTTCCTAGTTCTCTGTTTTTCGCTGTCTGCGCAATGCGCTATGCTAACATGTTTGCCTACAAAATGTCACGTTGTATTCAGGTTCGAAACCCGACGTAAGCATACTTCGTTTCTTTCTGGAAGATGCGAGGCATACGGGGCGACGCTTTATAACAAGTAGCGGGCGTAAAACTCGAAGCACTTTTTTAAGTTTATTTTTGCAACAAACATTTGTGATCTGACACAGCTGTGTCTGTATGTAGCTCAGGGTGAATTTGTATTAACGGTAACTAGCTTGCTGTTCTATTCCGCAATGTTAAACCTGCCGCTTCAGATTATGAGGTTTCTTAGTGTTGCGTAATTAGTGCTATGTGCAGTCACTAAGTAAAGAGGAAATGGGGTTTACTGATAGTATTCACAAAGTAGTCACAAAAAGCTAATTAATAATGCAAGACTTACTATTTTATTATTATTACTTATTATATTACTTATTATATATATTATTATTATTATATAATTAAACAAAAAACCTCTTGTATTGTAAACTAAAAGCAAGACTGTGATGGTAATAGTTTTAAAATGAATTAGAAAATAATCTGTTTCATTCCAAAGCTACATTTTACGTTCATGCAATATATATTGGAACACTGATAGATATTTTACAGTTCTATCCGTTTTGCTAGTTCGTACATGTATGTCATTTTTCAACTTTACAATCAACTTTTGTCCTTAAAATAACCATTACTATGTTATTTTTGCTAAGTTTGGTGGAAAAATTTTCAATAGTTCGGTCTCAATATCAACTTTCAATAGCCTGTGTGGTCTCGCAGATCTCCATTTGTCGAGCCCTACATACGGTATCGCCGTTAGCTATTCTATCAAGTAGCGAACTCCCAACACGAAACGAAGTGTTTCCACGCTCTGCTTCGGGCCTAGACCTCAACGTGTTCCTCAGACTAGCAATTAAATACGTTACGCACTAAGCTATCAGGGACGTGGTATCGCATGCCACGTACCACTGCTAACTCCGAGCTCCGTTATTTTCCCACTAACCGACGGATCACGCCGCATGCCTTTTCTGTTTAGGTGCGTGGAAACACTGATGTAGCGGTAGTGTAACGCTGTTTATAGTGAAAATTTTTTCCCTCGGGTGAACACCCAAATTATTCTGCAGTACAGATTTGAATCAACCATAATTGTCGCAAAGTAAGTATAACCGTGTAGGGAGAGAAAGACCACTTACTAAGTAGTACACTTGGTCGTTGCGGATAAAACAGTTGATTTTAGTGAAAAGCAAGCTGCAGTTGTGAAAATCGAAAGCAGCATTTGATGCCGTATGATTTCAGTACCCAGATGAATGTAGCTAATACGTGCCTGCCAATTCAGTGACGTTGTATGTTTTTTTGACGGAGTTCTGCGATATCGGCGTCGTTAAATCGGCTCTGCTATATTGCTTTTTATTATTGGATTCACTTTTCATGTTCTACAGATTTCACCGTGAGAATATTCTACTTCTAATCTGGATAAAACTATTTATGTATGTCTTCTATAGACCGTGCAGAGAAAATAATGTTCTTCACAAACATGTGTTTTAACTATAATTTTTATTTTAAAATATACAGTTGTTCCCATTTGTTTACTAATAACAACACTAATAGGCCGCTCAAGGGAGTTCTTTTGAAATAATGATACGTTTGAAATAACGTAAAACGCACGATCTGTTTTATCATATATACTTTTTTACCAAATAAGTGATCAAAGAAAAAATCATTAACATAAATTAATAGCAAAGGTTATGAATGAAAAAGTAAAATTTAATGTTAGTGTAATTAGGATATACATGTTAGATCAGAAGCAACACTTCATTTCAGATCGAAAGAAATCAGGGGCAAAACTGTTTCAAACCTTTGAATTTACATAAACGTGTTTACTGTGTTCGTTAGGCTTATGGCCGGGTCTCGGGTTGAGAAATTGGGTACAGTGTTCTCACGTACCAGGGGTTTGTTGCGGGCCGGTGGCATGAAGTGGAAGGACCGTCCAATTTGGTACGATATATACAACGCGTACCCACCCGAAATAGAACCGCTGTATTTCCGCGAGGAACCACCAGTTAATCCAATCCGACCCATACTGTACAAGTAAGCACTAAATTACCTTGTTTACCCTGTGAGACAATCGGCAAGAAGTTAACCAGCTGAAATTTAACTGTTTAAAGTCCAAAAGAAGGTTGTTTTGACTCCTTATCTGCCATCTACGGAGGATATCAAAGAATAATAATAATGGTAAAAGCACTAGAAACCAAATCGATATTGAATTATATCAGACTCAAAACACCGTGATACCGTTAAGCTGTTGTAATAACTTTGAACTTTTACGAAATACAAACATTTATTTTATCCGCTAGATAACGGTAAAACTCAGCAAAAAAAATAACCCATGTCTAAAATTAAATATCTACACGCAAAGTCTCATGCATCTTTACAAAAACGCTAGATAATAACACTGGCCCTTTTTTTTTTATATTAGAGAGGACATCATTCGCGCTAAGTTTGCAAAAGAGGTTGACCGTCGTAGTCATCCGGAGCAATTTATGAAAATGTACAACACTGCCTTGAATGAAACCGGCTCCGATTCGGAGGCCTTCGCTCGTGCCGTCGAGAAGTTCCGTGCGGTACGGAAGACTGAAAAAAGATTAGGTCGACCCCGGGTAGTTGTCCCAGACGATGCTGCTGCGCAAACCCATGCCGCAAAACATACAGATATAGAAAATGACATTTGAAACAAATCATCAGCTCGTTTCATATGTACTAGTTACCAGTCTAGTATGTGTATAGGGTAGTAACATACTTTTAATAAAAACACAAATGTATTTAATGTGTGTGTATTACTGATTGTTTAATCTGTAGTAATTCATTAGGGCAAGAGAAGTATTACAGATCAGAATGGCAAACAGAGAAACATTCTCAGATAACTTATCTAGTTTTTCTTTTATCCCAGGTCAATTCTTCAAGCTGCGTATCATTTAGACCGTGAACTATATCTAGCAGGGGTATAAAAATGACTTGACTCTTGGTAGCTTTCTGTTAACAGAGTCAACAGAAAGCTACCAAGCGCTTTATCTTTTTATAACACATTTTTTGCCAATCTAGTATAAAACTCGCTCTGTCTTTACCCTTTTATCCATCGCAACAAGTTCCTAAAAAAAAACATTGAGAAGCTATTAAATTCTAACGAAATAGAAATGCTTGTTAAACTCTCTTCGGCATTGAAAAACTTTGATATATATTAAACAAATGTAATTTTGGTAGATGATGGGTTACTGGTTATAATTTTAATTTTTATGTATTTCAAAAGACACATTAATTTTACAAGTTTCTTTGTATTGCATAACTCGTAAATAATGAATTCGGTCGTTAAAATAAAAAATGTCGTGGGTCGTTAATCTATGGGTATGTTTATTGCTATAGATGAGAGGGCCGAAATTCAAATCCTGGAAGACCTTTTTTTCGCATCATATACATTCTTCAGAAAATGTCACTATTGACCAGATTTTAACAAAAGCCTTTTGGAACGTTGATGTCGAGGTCTACAATGCAAAACTGACTTTCTGCGGGATCACATGTGAATTTCAATATGTGAATTCCATATGTGAAGTTCAATGAACTTCAGCTGAACTCTATGTTTCTTGAACTGTCTCTATAACAGATCAAGCTGCCATTGGATCTCGACGTATTTCTAAAGCGACTCCGCGAAAAGATCTGCTAGCTACTGCTAGCTAACCAGCGACTGCTAATGCTACTATCGCTAGTGCGCGTTCCTCAGTAGGGGACTGATTATGAATATAACCCTGAGAAACGACTTATGATATTATTATCTCCATTACCCACATTGTCATATCTTCAAAGATTATTGTTGTCTTACGATGAGCGTTAGATGTATGGATTTTACACGTTCTTTGAAGTACCCTTTACAATAAAGGCCTTTAGAATATACTTGCCCCTACCTAATAAACTACAACCATGTACGAAATATACGTAAATCGACCGGTCCTGGCCGCATTTACACCTACAAAATCAACACATCGACAACTGTTAGTGTAAACATTTCCTAAAAGTAAAACGCAACTCCTTTATTCAGTGCTGTCACGACAAATGTCGTTAAATATTTGTTCAAAGCTACAAAACAAAGTCGTGTGGGTGCTCGAACAATTTCGGGAAGTTTTTTCGCTCTTCCTCGGGTATTTCCTCTAGCTTACGTGGAATTGATTTCAGCTGCCGGAGTTGGTAGCTCAGGTTTTGCTTAATATTGTCTGGAATTTTGTCGTCGGCGAACAGATGAAGTCGCGACATTCGTAAACGTCGAAGGAGATCTCCGGGAATAGCACGATAAACGGCTTTTTCCATTACTTTAGTTGGGTTACTATCGTGCATTTCCCATGCCGATGTCCAAGATGCTCCGCCAGCGTAATCAGTATGATGATAATACATCCTACAACAGAAGGAATGATGAATAACGCCATTTAGAATACATGCATACTTTTAAATTTCTGATTGGTCGAATACTGTCGAAAATTCCAGCAGTCTCAAAACGTGATAATATTTAGAAGGAAACTTCATATAGAGTTTGAAATTTTCAGTTTAATATAATACGTTTGTAAATCATGTGTTAAATGTCACGTAAGCCGGGCGGCGAAAAACCTTAAATACGAAACGAAGGTCTGTGAACAAGGTATTCAACTATTCTTAACCAAAAAAGACACCTACATTTACCACTAGTCTTGTGAAGTAGACGCATGTTCAAATACTCTGTAGATAAGCAACATACTGTTTTAGTACAATGGAGGAGATTTTTCATTTGAAAAAACGCAGACTCCTGCATAGTAGACGATACCAGGAAAGTATTACAAGAGAAAATCGTGAGAATTTGAGATGAGAACACATTTTTTACAAAGTAAAAGCAATAAATGCCAGATATTTTGTTGAGTATCGATGTTGCCCGCATACGCTTACCTGAACTTCCACTCATACCATGGCATCGCAATTTCTTTACAGTTGATCACAACAACGTGATCTCCGGAGTCTAGCATCGGATGAAACATGGGCTTCTTCTTGCCCTGCAAGACGTCCGCAATGAGTTCGGAACTCTCAAACGGGTTTTGGTGCCGGGCATCATAGAGAAGCCACTGGCGAGTAAATGTCAATTTTTGATCGGCCGCCGCTTGCACAGTCCGCAAGAGTTTCGCCGTAAGCTTCATTTCCGTTACTAATCTACGGATTCCTCACACGTCCAGCTGAACGAAAAATAGTTAACAGATTCACTTAAAATTAGTGAAACTTTGCCTAGGAAAACGGCGGCTTAATAGACCTGTGTTTTACCATGCGCCTAGATTATTTTTCTCCATTGCACCAGTACTAACAGATTGAATTCACGATTTTCTAGTGAAAATCAAATTCAATAAAATACATTAATCAAGTTTCCTTTTAATGCAGAGGTCGACCGGTTTCCCCGCATCGAGAAAGGGCTATAGTAAAGGAACACTACTCTACCATCCGATACGCGCAGCTCAAATCAACACATGCTGTCTCGTCGTCCTTCCCCAACTATAAACAACAACACTGGAGTAGCCCAGAATTCCGTACCATCCGACTAGGTGTTCCGTTGATTAAGCCTCGCCATAAACGCATTGCACTTTCCAATTGTCTCATTTCCGAACTGCAATGCGCTTTTCAGAGGCCATGACATGCTTTGAAACGGTACGATGCGGAGCTGTTCGACACTCGTGTATTTCACCATATCGTGTTGTGTTGTGAATTATCCCTGAATTCTGCTGTGCCTGCGCAATTCCGAACTTATGCAGTGTATAGCAACACTATGACCAATCGGCAAGCCAAGCTATTGTTGTAAACCAATTCATAGGCATGGATGTAAGCCAATGTCCACTGCCGGTGTGTTGAAGTGGAGCTATCAATCGACTCCAACGCCGAAAACTGATTGCAAAGATTTGGATCCGCATAGGAAAATAGTGAAGGATCAGGTTGGAGCAGAACAGCTGCTATCGCTAGTAGCCTATAGACTTCAGCTGTCAATTCTCACCCCATATTAAGTGCGAACTACCGACACCGATTAACAGTATTTTTCTTCGGGGAACTTTACGACAAACTGCAACCGCAAAGGCGCCTCCGGCTCACTGGAAAGCTTTTCATTCAACTCTTGTACTAGATTTTTTATTGACGGAAAATTCTTCCTTCAAATCAGCCTATGAAATTCAAGTTGTTGTTGTTGTTATTTTGCGGCCTCTACGTATGTGCGTAAATGGGTAATTAAACGTTCTGAACCCAGGTTAGAGCGACGAAAGAGTATGAGATTTTCTGATGCTCACAGAAAAATGCCATTACTACGTCGACTGCGAGAATCTCTGGCGGTGCCTTAATCCGTTTCTAATAGCAGCCATCGAATACAGCGAAGGATGTACATTAGGAGGATTTTTGGCTGTTTATGAGGCACGTCTCACTTTGTGAATGACAGCCCAGTCTGACGGGCGGTTAGTTCCCTCACCAGCAGCAGTGATAACCAGCTTATCCTAGAGCCAGCTCCCAATGCAGGATCACCGTCGGAGCTGAACGTGTAAGGAGGAACAAGGAAAAAGGCCCGCAGATCTGAAGAAGAAAGTGAGTCAACTGGTTGTGATTATCCGAAGCTGCAGCAAAACAGCCAGCATTGATCTGGGATAGACGAAATACTGCTCCAGCGTTCGACTACGGTGACGACAACGGCCACCGAACGGGTCAGTCAAACCGAGATACCTAGTTATGAAGTTAAAAGAAAATGTTGAATTGAACCTGTGGAATGTATGATACGTTTAATTTGGTAGCTGGAGTAATTAGGAGAAATTTTAGAAGAAAAGTCATGAATATCAGTAATATCGCAGTGCAACTTTTCGGGGTGCACAACGGTGTCTACTTTATGGAAGTGAACTGAATATGATTACCTTTCAGAAAGGTATTGTAATTGTGTCGCCGCCAAGCAATGCAGACGATGCTCGCGCGACAAAAATATGTATGTTTAGCCGTTATGTACTCAAAAGGCGATTAGTAGTAGCGTTATGTAGGCGATTAGTATTCTCCGGCCGTCTAAGTCGCATTAATACTGGCATATCTCGAAGCTTAATATCTATAAGTAAAATTTAAAGCTTGTTAAGATATATATATATAATTCGTATGGTACATGAATATGACATCTTTACCATTTTATTTTCATTCTTTTCTAGGAAATATTTATGTTGACTATAAAATAGTAGTTAAACAGAGTTATGTTAGTTTTTAGTTGATAAGCTCGCGTTTGTTATGACAATGTGACAATGCCTAAATCTTGACGTTTTTCTACACGTATTTTAGTTATACTTTGTTACAAAGATGTTTCAATGCACAAATCAGATCGTCCCTCCACGATAAAGGTTCATAAACCTCGAATCGGAGATAGCATAAGCTTGGACTTTTCTTTTTAGGTACAGTAGAGATAGTTTTCAATTAAAGGAGCTAGTGAACGCCGTTTTTCTCTGCTAACGTTACATAATCACGCTAAATGTATATTAACGCTGCATAGTAACTGCTACATTAACCGTATGTTAATATTTAATAATATAATTGTATAGGCCAAAATATTGTATAAGAATTAAATTGAAGGTCAAAACCGAAACATTATAATCTTGGTGTTAAAGGAAAATATTTGCTTTACCGAAAGTACATATTTAACAAAAGAAGTTGAATCTGTTTTAAAAACCGTTTTGTTGCTTTGAGAGTTGATGACCGTAATATATAAAGGGCCTATACAAAAATACCACAAAAAACATGGGAGTGTGTCAAAGAGCGTGAGTTTGGGTCATAGGGGAATGTACCGTAAATATTAAAAATGATAAACACTGTTTCCATACTTCTTAATTCTTTTTCCCTGAAAGACATGCTAACATCGCCAGTGTTCTACTTCATCATACGCCACAACGTTGCCATGGTGTAAGGTGTTTTTGATATTAAATATCAATAACTTAGAATCAAATATGATTCGTTTGAGATAAACTTGAGAAAGTCAGGTAAGTAATGCTTAATAATATAATAAAATCAGCGTAATAATAGAGAAGAACCACATTCGATCGTTATCTAATTTAGTTAAAAGATGTTATTCTAATTTATGAAAAACCGTTTCGTGGAGCACGTTTGTACGGAATTGCAAGTAGAAAAAGATAAGAGGGTGGGATTAGGCATAGGGCTCATAATAAAAATGATGAAAATATCATTTGTATTACTATGTGAAAATATATTACTTGTTTATAAGCTGTAGTTAATATTATTAACATTTTACTGTTACTTATCTAATTATTGTGACCTTGCTTACATTCTTTATTTCTACAGTAAATACTTGCAATGCGAGATGATAAGCAACAGATATCGTATGGGCTATGAGTACATCAGTAAAAAGTATGCGAGACGTTCACGACATACTATAATTTTATATAATTATGGGTGACCCAATAATATAGGAATAGTATTAGGAAAGCGAGTGCATTACTTTGCAAAAGTGATTAAAAAACGAAGTCGCATTACTCCGCAACGGTGATTAAAAAACAAACGTTACTCGGAATGAATAAGTCCTGGCAAGAACATCTCGGACCTGTAATTCCATATGACTTCGTGTCGCCATCGTCGATTCGTCCTTCAACGCGATCAAGTACGACAGACATTTTTTATTATTTGGAAAATAGCGTTGTGACATAGCTTGGCTTGTAGCCAGTATCTTACGAACAACTGTGTGGAGTCACAATCGTATTTAGCAACTGGCAACGTCTGTTCGAAAAATCCTTCGCATGATACACCGAGTGTCATCCTTTAGCTCACAGCAGCCAGTTGTATCGAGAGGCATTTTATTTCCAAAGATTGTAAAGACGGTAGCAAAGTCAACCGAATCACTTCTGACACTTTTTGCCATCTTCCCCAGCAAAGGACCTGCTCCCTTCGAACACTCATTGGGTTCAGTCCTCTTGAGCGATCACTTAAACACTTCTGTGTTTCCTAGCTGCATGCAACACTTGACTGGACGGCCGGAGCAGACATCAGGCACCAAACATGGATTAATTCCCTGCTTTGATCTGTTCATGCTTCAGTGTTAATAATGATCACCCCCTGCCTAGTTAGGTTGTTAAGTATTTTGTTTAAGTATTTAGTAATAAAAGCACTTCGAATGCGAACCGGTGCTTGCGCTTCAGCAGTTGAGAAGAGCGCAATACGTCAACCTTCACAGTCAAAATTGGATGGTCCAGTAAGCGCTAATGCGGACACCATTAGCACAATTCATTGCATTACTTGTATAGCATGAAACAAAAAAACCAAGGGCATTATTTTAAAACGGGAACGAAACCGAAGAAGTCTATGCAAGAGGCCGGATGCCGGACCAAAAGCGTTTTTCATAAAATGGAGCAATAATTTACTCAACATGTGTAGAACCTTAATCTACATAGGCTGAAGCAGCTTTTGACCGACTATCAGCCCAAAAGTTGTATCTGTTATTTTTCTGTTTTAAAAACATAGAAATGTTGGTTGTTTTTTGGCGAACAAAGTGTTTTCCAATTAAAAAATGCAAGATCTACTTGCATTTATAAGTGCAAGCAAATATTTGAATAAGAATTAAGCAAGTTTAGAGGTGCTAATATTTCATTACTTATAGTACTATTAACTAAGTTATTAGCACATTCAAAAAAGTCATTCTTGCACATGATTTAATGAGCAGTTTAGGTTCCCAGTGAAAACCATAATCGAAGTGAACGGCGAATAAATAAAAACGACTACCAGAAGAACTCGTCGGCATATACAAAAATTGCATGTAATTATTAATTTTTATTTATATTAAGTTTGTAAAAATCTAGTTATTAAGTTTGTAAAAATCTAGTATGACTACCTTCTCAATATATATATAAGTGTATACATATTGATTAGTTCTATTATTCGTCAAAATCATTTAATTTTTTTTCAACTTAAAAATCAATCTCTAAGTACTACAAGGTGCTATAAGTAAACAGTAAAATAAAAGAATAGCTTTTGTTCATTTGTTCGATAGGCTCGATTACTATAACGACTTGGCCAATACGAGATTTTTTCCCCTGGGGCGCGTTCGCCGAAGATGCCTGACAAAAATAAAATTCTCATATAAACATTCTTTGTTTTTTTGATTTTATCTAATTTTTTTACATCGATCGAGGAGGTTCTGCTACACCAGGAGAATTATAAGGGAATGTAATAAACACCCTAAAGGAATGATCTGGTTCAAGGCAAGCTATAAGCCTTAAGGAGGCGACCTTGTTGGCCATTATCGAATCATTCTCTTTCTACTTACGAGGGTAACTTAAATGAGGTGCTCTATATAGCTTGACATGGATATTAATGCCACTATATATTTGAAATGTAGCTATGTTTTGAGCTCAAGCTTTCCGAGAATATTTAGGGGACCTTTGAAGTCGAAACCTTATGGATGACCGACTGGAGCAGAGAGAAGTTAAATTATAGAAGATTATCTTGTCAGCTTCACCGGCGATTTAAATTTTTAGCCGAAACAATAAATAAACCTGATACAGGGTAGCCCGTTGCTAAGTTTGCTGGTTTATTTTGAAACACCGTAGGTCTTGCGGGAGAACACTAATCCAGAACACAAATTACGAGGATAGGTCGCTTTGAGAGTACACATGCGGGAGTTGAGCATATATAATCGTATGGAGAACTGACGTAGCTTCAACCGTTGGAAAAATATCACAGTGAAATTAACGTGTATAAGAAAGACAGTGATCGTAATTTGCTGTGTGTAAATGCATCACTCCTATTAAATAAAGCGAATCGACCTCGACGGAATCACGAGGGCGTGCAACCAATGAGGGCGTGTAACCAATACAACGTATTTAATCAGTCTATTTCTTTACGCAAAAAAAATATGAAAACGCATCGAGTTTGGATTTGTTCATATGTTTATTTATGATAAATCGTTTTGATTTTGATTGTTTTCGATAGTTTTTTTCGAAAGATTGGACTAGTTTATATAATTTACTGACGAAAATATTGTAGGAGGTTCCTATTTTTCGCCTATAACCAAACGAGATATGAAATTAATATTTAGATCTCCTGCTCCAGTTGAATCCTTCTCTGAACATGCGGTTTTCCTTTTATTAACCTTTGCGTTGCAATACGTTATTCAACTACGAGCCGAAGGAACAAATTCTGAAACAAATCAAGCAAAGTTAAATAAACTATGTATACCCTGCAGGATACTTGCAAATATTGTTCGTAATATCTTTTTTTTTTTTTGAAATAATAAATCAAACTTGCTTGCCTTGAATAGCTTTTATTAAACAAGTTGGGACAATTTTTTTGGGAAAAAGACACTCAACAATTGGAGTCTTCATTTTACTCATATGTTAGGGTAATGGTGTAGTCAAATGTAGCTAATATTACCGGTACAGAACCAAAAATAGGCTCCCAACCTTTTTTAGTATTTGATCTTTCCCATCCTGCATGATCCGATTTTTGTTATATACCTGCGGGTAAGTGCCGAAAGATTTCGAAGAGCAATGAAAAAATTTACTTAAAGCTAACTGTTCTCTTGGCAAATTTTAGACCTTACCGGTTTTTTCATACGCTTTACTCTCCTTTTTTGTCTTGCACTGGACCAGTTGACATTCGCAGATAGAGTTATCATACTGGACTTCGTCTTTGACACCTCATCGAGCTAAGACACATCGCTTGTTCATATATACCATTCTCTCTATTGCATTGTCGGCCTGTGGGTAGCGCTCACTGTCCACCGCGATGACATGGTTAGCATTGCACTCCGTTCGTCCCGTCAACAACGTGATTATGGTGTTGACGGGGCAAACGACAGGAGCCGCACGGCAGGCTTCTAGCGATGAATGATGCGCTAGGCGCAAAGCCTAGCTCATAGCCTTGGCCAAGCGAACGAAGCTTGATGTGGGGCTCGGTTCTATGATTTTGCAACAATCCAACAGAGAGGATCCAGCGCTATGTACAATAGCATGCATCTGCTGATGGTGCTATTGCCGCTACATAGGTCGACGCCAACAATTTATATTCATATAGTTACGACTCTGTTAACCATAAGGAGAAACCATGACGACAATACAAAGGGGATAGCCAACAACGACAAACCAAACAAATGACACAACCCACAGCTGTTTTATCCTATTAAAAAGAAGTTCGATGGCTGTGGCGCATTTTGGTGACACGCACGTAGTAGCCATGGCCGTCAAACAAGTAATGTTAAGTCACCAACGCTTCCAGTAACAATCGCGGAGTTGATCAAACGATCATACACAGAGAAAAACCGTCTACGTTACCATCAGGGTGTCCTGCCAAAACAGACTTTCCTGAAATACCCTCCTTTTGCCCCATTCTTTGGCTCCTTTTTGCTCCCACCCCTTCCCCACGCTGCAGCCGCGACATCGCGATATATACTTATCTGATAACTAAAATGGATATGACAACGCTGCTGTATAGTTCATGGCTGTAGTGCAACCTCTACCAGATTTGCATTTTACGTCAGCAAGTGGGACCGTGAGGTCGCTTAGACAGGAAGTACCTGTTTTATGGCAATCAGTGGGTGGACAAAAAAGAACGGGCAGTGCACTGTTTATATTCATAGTACCCGTAATACTGGTGATGGTATATGCAAAAGATTGTAGATAGCTATCGCCTAAACAGGAAATACAGGGAATACCGCTGTGATTGTGCGAAGCAGCTGTAATTGTTCGCAGGACCGAAGATCACCTTTTGCTCATTCGGTGTTCAAAGTCAGTGTTTTTTCGATGTTGACCGATGCTAGATGTGACTTCACTGTGACCTCTGACACAGTGAAGACATGGGAGCGCTACAAAATTTTAGAGGTAATTACAGCAGTGGGTAGCGATTTAATTGAACGTTTTTACCTATAGTGGAACATTTCGAGGCGTCAGTGTCGTTGATTTTGTTTTTATCTAATATAATATGGAACGTATTGGTAGCATTATTATTGCGTACAATAAGAAAGTCTGGATTAAGACGCAAGCGAAAGACAGCACCAAAAAATACAGTAAGTGCTTATTATGTAATGTTTTTCAGATTCGACTATGGCTGAGTGTGACGCCTTCTTCGACCGGAACAAGCCCGGTTTAGACTTCGAACAAAAGTCTAGACGAATTAAAGAGTTCTGCGAGTTCCACCAGACAAGCGAGAACACCAAAATTGTGCTCATAACGTCTGGCGGCACAACAGTTCCTCTAGAACATAACACGGTACGCTTCGTGGATAACTTTAGCATTGGCATGCGTGGAGCAGCTAGCGCTGAGTACTTCCTTAAAGCCGGTTACGTTGCAATCTTTCTCCATCGATCGAAGTCGCTTGAGCCATTTTCACGAAAAATTCATGACAACGTCCTCGACCTATTCTCCTATCAGAACGGTCAGGTCACCATCGCGGACAAGGCTCGGCCGCAATTGCAGGAAATCATGGCCGACTACGAACAGGTGCGCGCAGAAAATCGCCTTCTAAAAATCAAATTCACGACGTTGGCTGACTACCTATTCTTGCTTCGCGCATCAGCTCAGCACCTTCGTGCATTTTCATCCCGGGCGATGTTCTACTTGGCGGCGGCCGTTAGCGATTTCTATGTCCCGCCCGATGAAATGGCCCAACACAAGATTAACTCGGATGCCCAGCTCACCATGACCTTCCACCTAGTACCGAAAGTTCTTAAACCCCTCGTGTGCCTCTGGGTGCCGGACGCCTTCGTTGTGTCGTTCAAACTTGAGACTGACGAGAACATACTGCTAGACAAGGCACAGCGGGCCCTTGAGAACTACAAGCACAGTTGGGTAATTGCGAATGAGCTGCATTCGCGCAAAGAACGAGTGACATTCGTTAGCAAAACGGAAAAAATCGACGTACGAATGACGCGCGAAGAAATCGAAGCTGGTAGCGAGATTGAAAAGAAGATTGTGGCACAGCTCAGCGTCCTTCATCAGGCGTTTCTTAATGCGCGGGAAACTATTGACCGAGTGAAATCCTATGAGGTACAGGATTGCACAGTAATTGGTAGTCATACGGTATAGGTATGACCGAACGAACAGTAACGTATGCAGCAGAAACAACAGAAAACAGCAGAAACAAACAATAGATGATATAGGCATGAACAAGGTGAACAAGTGTGCCCGAGTATTAATGATAACGGGCCTCTAGCTGGCGGTGCTGTATAATTTGGTTTGACTCGACTTTGTCATAAAATATACGCTGATGGCAGCGAAGTATCGGAGTCGGAAAAAACTCAATCGGATTGCCTATCGTTATGTCAATTTTCTTAATGAATGGGTCACTCTCGGTTGAAATCTTCAGCCGAAAATCCGACTCGATTTTTTGTTTTTAGAATGAAAACGACAAGGTGGTCATTATGGTTACTCGATGAAATAGGATAACGATATGGGTACAATTGTGTCAAGAATTGTTTCATTGGGAAAAATTGGTAGTCATAAACACTATAAAGAGTTATCATAACTTATTTTGATAATGTACGTAAAACTCCAAAAAAATAGTCCCATGATGAGTTAAACACAGTGTTCTAATAAAAGTGATTACCTTAACGATAGGACTTGAAAATTAAGTTGAAAATTAAGGGAAAACTAATAATAAGCTCAATGTCTAACCTGAAAACATATAATAGGCGTACTGTAGGTATTGACGCATGCGTTATGCACCGTGTGTCGATATTAACGAAAAAAGTCCCGTTCTTATACCACTCCTACTACTACGGACACTTAGCTCCCTGCGACATGTGTTGCTGTGTTGATGCAACTTTTATAATGGTGAAACGATTACAGAATGAGTGATGTCAACGTTCGTTGTATATTGATGACTAGGCAGGTTGGAGTCGTTAGGAAAGGCAACATTGTAATCACGCCATTTCCGGACGCGTTTTGCAACGACGGCGACGACGACAATAACAATAAACTTATAATAAGCAAACCAGCTACCTAAAAGGGTGTAAAGGTGAAATGTGTTAATCTACGGTATTTTCATGTCTTCATTTCCAAGAAAACTTATCTTATCCAGTTTATTCAAAAGCTCTATATAGATAAAATCCTACGCAATACCTTCAACAAAACAAAGTTTATCGTTTTCTCCAAATGCTTTGAATTCGACGCCCTTTTGAAAACGCCGTACCCCCCAACGATGGTCATAATAGCAGTAATATTCGTAATAATAATACAGCTCAGAGATCAAGTTCACGATGAGGCTAGACAGTATTGTCTATCCGTAATCAAAGCTGTTATTGTTTCTTATGAGATGTACATCTGGTTGGCAAATTTATCAACCAGATTACCAAGACGAAGAATAGCAGACGAAAAAGATCAGAATCGTAAGTAAACTACTTTGAGAACGGTGGTTGACAATGGTTAAGGAAGATTATAACCGAGTGACTAGCATATGAGGTTAATTACATTTAAATGCTAATTATTTATGAATGGTTCTTTTATTTATGAAAATGGGACGTTACATTAACATTATTGTATAACAATGTATAATACAACGCTAGTGAAAACATGGTAATTACCTACGAGGAGGTTTTAGCCCGAAGTTGATTTGTTTGGACCAACAAGTGTTCATTAAATTTTCGCATATTCACAAGCTATCAAAGTCCAATCATCGTTTAATCGTTGGGTTTCATATATGAAATATAAGAGGCATCTTGGAATAACAGTAGCTTTATATATGTAAATAGCTGCACACATGTGCGTAATAAAAGGAAAAAATAATAGTTATTAAGCACTGATAGAAACCCACTTCGGCCACCGAAGAAATAAGTAATAATTAAAAAATTATTTTTCTAAGCCCTATCCCTCTGAGGCGACGGACTCACTCGACTCTGAAGTCAATACCACGTTCCGTCCATAACTACTATATTATTTTATATATATTATATCTCTACATATAAAATATATCTCTATTGTCTTTCTTTATTGATACTGTAAAATCAAAAGCTAGCTTAAGAAAATAGCAGCAGATAATTGTATATATGTATATGTTACATAGATTTATGATACCTAAATAATTATATATACGTGGATATATACAGATCATAGATATTTAGAAACCATTATTTGGAGAAATTTGGATAAGATGGGCATTATGTAATGCCTACGAGTAATACGATGATGACATGTCTACGTTGCAACATTAGAAGTACCACTGCGATCGCTATTATTTTTGTTTAAATTTTATCGATTGTCCGCTTTTTCAAAACAACTTTTTGGTGGCTATTGTTGTCGTAAAACCTTTAGAACCCAATATTTTCTGCCTCTATTGAGTGCATTCGTCGTTTGAAGGTGCGCGGTCTACTACGTGACTACTGTATTCCACTAAATTGTATTTCTTGGATTTTATGTTAAAGTACTTACTTCCGCTAAGCAGCTACAGATTTATCCTAGGTATCTGAGAAACGATGAAAAAACAAAAACATAACACATACGTGTACAGAAGCAGCATAATGCAACATTTTTTAAGTCTGTACCAGTTCTCAAGGATGCTGTTATACTAGGGCGACCTATCGTAATATGTATGAGAACACGACGTATAGTGTTAATGACCACAAAAGGAGCCAAAAAATAAGAGGCCTACTAGGATATGAAAGGTCATATTGATATGAGTACGGTCATCAGCATATCGAGAATAATATCGGTATCAGTCCTTTAACTGGTAACGTTATGCTGGACCATACATTGCGGTTATATACTAGCCTCACATAGCAGTACCGTGTGAATTGCACCTTACCAGTACTTTAAAACAGATCTTTATTCTCTCGTGTTCTCAGGCAAGGTAACTTTAGCTGATGTTCCAATAACTGGATATATTATAGCAAGGTATGATAATAGGATATATTTCTCTTACGGGACGAATTCTGTCGTTGTCGTGACGTTTGGGCGTTCAATGCTGAAAATACTAGATGTTTTAAAAATTTAAAGAGGTGGATATTTGCGTGCGCAACAGATCCACGCGCATCTTAAGAGCGAGAGAAAGTAATTGAATAACTGGAACAGAAAAGGTTCGTCTAGTTGTTGAATAATTCTAAGCAATTAATTGTATAGTTCTCGAACATACACAGACCTCACACAAGAAACAAAGTATTGCAGATTTTTTACTAAGAGTGCAACAACGTTGGGTAGCCCTAGTAAAAAAAAGTAGTCGTATCCCCGTATTACTACAAAATAGTAATAATAATAATAGTTATACTGATTGACAATGTTCAGCAAGTAATAATAATAATGATTGTACTGATTGACAGCAGTGTAATGCAGTATGCAATATTTCAGGATTTCACCGAAACTTCGTTAACTGTCCACACGTATCTTGTTCGTTTTGTGCTGTTTAGTCTGACCTTTCATCTATGGAGAACATCATAATATATATCGAATACTGGGAGCAGTCAAGCCTTTGAAACTACCACAAATGACAGACAATTGTGGTTTCTCTCCCATCCACCTGAGCCTTTGCGCTATGTGGATCCAGATCTCTCAATATATTTTGAGTTCGGGCTAGTGGTAACAGGCTTGACACTAAGTCGAGCGGCTGTACTTATGAAAGGACACGGACGGCAGCCGGACAGTCAGTAAAACTGCGGGATCAACTCTGGAATCTACCCACAAACTTAGCCAAATGCACCGGAAAAAAACACACAAACAAAAATATCATTGGTAAGACGATCGTCTCAATTGATTTCATCACTATCTACTCAGAAAACAAAAGCCAACGAAGGAACGAGCTACTGCTTCACCAACATCGCCAAACCCATGCTTTAAAGTGCTGTTTATTATGTCCAAAAAACAGAGAAGTCATTAACCGAACAACACCTCTTCGTGAACAACCAGCGCATAAATCACCGGACTTATTTCCGCACTGGCTGCGTGGCCTCGGTGATAACGAGTGCATGCAAAAGCAAAAAGTAGACTTCAGCTGGAGACTGCAGACTAAGCTCACGTCCGATTTGTCGACAGTGATGATCAGCACTTAAATCAGTCATACAAATGACGGGTATCCCCTATAAAAACGCTATAGAGGTTGGTGAATGACACCTGCCCATAAAGGTATAGGATGACAACATGAGAGGAAGGGTGTATCGACAGTTAAGCGACCTTAGTAGTACTTTTCTATTGTGCTACTCGGCTCGTGTTGGTCGCATGATTTTTCTTTTGATGGGTAGCTGCTTTTGATGGAGAGGACAAGGAAATGAGAATGAGAAATTTTGATTATGGTGCATGTACCATCTTGCCATGTGGCCTGACGACAGAATGAATATTTGGATGTACGACAAATTTGGATGGAATAGGTGTTCAGCGTTAGCGGATTCAATTGAATATTTTAGACAATTTCAGAATAAGATAACGAACATTTCTATCTCCACTTAAAAGTAATTTAGTATCTGGCAGGGGTAATTTGAATTTCGTAGTCGCTTAGACGTTTATTACGGGTTGATTTCTGTTTCATTGAAAACAAATCGTAATTAGTAACCTGTTAAACGGCAAAGGATGTCAACTCTTCAGAAATGAGTAATTTTAATAGCTATTAAGGTATAATACCAAACAGAACAATTGTTTTGCATAGCACGCCAACACGAATACTATTACGCCGATAGTAATTGTACATCAGTTCACACCTTCTGCATTACCGCATAGTGCAGTACCTCTAAACTTGAACTTAGCCGAATTCACATGTTCTTCACAAGTAGCGTGAGACTAACTCCTTTTCTCACTAGGCCCAAAATACCAACTTATACTCAGGCACATAGGTACACATGCCAATCGTATGTAAAGAGCTTACTTTCATTGCAGGGGAATTAAGGTGACGCACCATACCGATGTAGAAACGCGTACGACGTCTGGCTGAGGCAATTGTGGCAACTGCCCATCGTTACTGATGACGCCGTTTTTATTTTCCCCGTTGTTATTATTTACCTTTAATTGTTTACTCTTCTGGGACTTTCAATATTGCTGCAATTGTGGTGGCGCAATGCAAGTTTCGCTGCTTATCCGGAGTAAGTAGTATCTCGTTACAGATCCCCTATGGATGAGGTTTAAAAGCGGGTGACAGCCTCCTCTTAGAAACGAAGCTAACTGATACGATCCATACAGAAAGAGGACGATGTTGAGTTGAACCCAGCGGGTTTCAGTACTGTGGATCGAGCACTCCAGCAACGCTCATGATCGAGCCATTATGTAGAACCTAACAGCAAGTCGATGGTACGCGTTCAGATGGCAAACAGCTTAGGCTCACTGTGCTGGGTGGGAACTCCAGTGACATGGTTAACTACGGTATCAGCACAGACAACAATAAACAATCCTCAATAACAATAAGAAGAAAAAGACTAGCGTTTTTGGTTCTCGTTTAAAACGGCCATAAGCCCAGCTGAATGAGTGAGAAACGGCATGGTGAACACATAGGGAAGTTGACTCCCAGGCAGATCTTTCAATGGGAACACTTTTCAAGATCTCCGTATGTAAAAGATGACGCAAACCCATTGAATTTCATAACACAGATGTACACTAGTTTTGTCTATTATATAGCGAAAGCAACAACGAGTTCATTTGAAACCGTCGAGAATATTCTAAGGAAAGTATCTGAATGTGACACATACTGCCTTCGAATGTATTAAATTACGATGGGAAACCGCGAATGATTCGCTAGGAGCTAAAGTAGTACATTATGTGCATCTAATTCCGTATAGAACGATGATTAGTACGGGCCTACTACAGCAGATAATACTTTTATTGATGTTTTAATTAGGCCTTGTATCGCGTCAGTTGCATATTAATCACATAAAACTGTATGTATAAATGTATATAAATGCTTCAAGTACTTAAATGATATCTGCACAACTTAGAAAATATGATTGACTGATATTACACATATTATAAGAATATCATCTGCATATAATCATCTATGCACGTGAATAGCGCTCAGAAATAGCGCAGTGGTAATGTAAGTGCTCACTATTCAGGAAATTCAACTAAGTTGGCTTGGCAGATGCTTCAAATAATTCCTAACGTCTTACATACCGAATATGACATTCGAAATTCAATTTTCTTCAGATATTAGAGATAGCTGAAAATACTTTTTTTGCCTAAAAATTTTAGCTAAAAGAAAAACGTAAGATTTTATTTTTAGACTGCAAGTCAAAAACTTGTTTTTGAGCTGTAGTATAAAAGCTCTAAAAAAACAAAAAAAAAAGATATTGCACGAGCAGTAAAATGAAGATATGGTTTTTAGCCAATAAATGTAAAAACTCTGATCATAGTTCTTATCATGAGCACATAGGCCGCATCAAAATTTAATGACGGACGAATATTATTCTTTTTAACATTAAGCAGCTTTTTAATATTAAAAAAACATTGCAAGATCATTAGTAAAGCATAGGTTTCTGAAGTTAAAGACAACAATCTAATAAGATTCAATTTACAATAATTGTGTTGGTTTATTTGATACTTATTGGATAACATTGCATTATTATTAGTATTATCATTATTTGTGATACAAAAAGCACTACACATATATATACATATATTCCAGTCTACTTTCTATCAACACTGGAATATAGATATCATTAGGTAATCAACAAACCATACAAGCGACATAGTATTTCAAAACACTAACATGTCAGAGTTTTTTTGTTATCAAATGCTCGGTATCAATATCTATTAATAGATGTCGAATCACTACTCGACATCTTCGAGGTTGTATTTGTCTCACTTCATATTAACACGCGATATTTTTGACAAAACACCTCTGTTTGAAGCACTTGACAGTTTGAAAAAAGGCTGCTTAGCAGTTCGAAAGTCTTCATTTTACTCGTTTCTACTGTATTTTACTGCTCTGCAACGTTAAGAGGTCAAAATTTAAGACCCCAAATCTGTTAAGTAACTTTCTTCGAACTTATTCAAAAGTTTTTTATGCCACTGTATATATACATATATATAATAGCTTGTTAGTTATCAATTTTTTGGTGGTTCTCTTTGTCGACATCAGCGGCATCATCTGTCCCATCGATATCAATGTCCTCAGTTTGCTGGGGGTCCCTGTTGGATGATGCTGCCAGTGATCCCCTGCTACCCTCAAGGCCCTGCGATGTCCCAGGGACAGTGTCATCGGCTTCATCCTCCGCATCCTCCTCTTCGTCGTCCTCGTTGACGTCCATCTCGAGCAAACGCATCCGCCGTCCGTTAACGCGGACACAACATAGATTTCTCGAGCCACTAACGGCGAGCACTTGGGCATTACCAACGCTGGAGGGAATTGGACACCTGTCGAGAACTCGATGGTTCATTTTGTCGATGTATGACCTGCAATAATGCAATTGATAGATAGTAAAAAGGACAGCAAGCAAAAATATATGACAAATAAATGAAACTATTACATATGTTACAAAAAAGATGTGTTACAACTTTTTTTTGTGTATCAACTTGGTTTTCATTGCATGACTCGATACATGCATGGTTGTCTGGATTGTTTTGGATTTAATATTGTAAAGTGGAGAAGTTGACGGATATGAATAAGTTACGAAATAACCACCATTGGGATGCGTAGGTTTTGATGGATAGATAGATAGGAGTTCAGCAGACTGACCAAGTAAGAGTAGCAGCAATAACAGTAATCCACCGTCCAACCCTCTCTTTTCGCTTTACAACTTACCCCGCGTCAAGGGCGCCAATCCTCCAGTCAGCTCGCAATGCAGCCACAGCTTGCCACTCGTCGACTCTAATCAATGGAAACTGTGCCAAGACAACCTGCTGCAACTGTTCTGGGTCTCGAAGAAGTACGGTAATTACATCACCTGAATAAAGCTGGGCTGCAACTATTGCCTTCGGCTGTTCAGCTGCCTCGCCGGCTCCACGCAATGAGGTACTAAAGAATGCACCGAACTTCAGGACACAGAATTCTTCGTCGCGAAAGACAAGCATATGCTGCGATTCAGGTGATGGTACAATGCAGGTAAATACATTTGTCTCGGTAACTGCATAAATCAAAGGGTATAACACAGAGTTAGAAAAAAAAATCTGTTTTAATATAACAGTTTGATTTCGTTTTTGCTGAATCCGGAGTATCTCGCAATGAATTTCCTTCAATCGGACAAGGTGTAGTCGGAAACAATTCGGATAATACAGAGTTGAAAAAGTAATGATATTCACATTACAATTGGACAAACAATTGGATGCTGAGCTAAGATAAAAAGGCTAGAAAATTTTTAGTTGTGTCCTTGATAGACCCGCGAATTTTCATACCAACTCTATATTTAGACGTACCTAGCTGACTATACATGACGTCCTTTCCAATATCGATAGGCCCCGCGAGGATTTTTGGCTGAACGCCCCGAGTAAATCCGACGCCAAGGCCTTCAAATGCACCCTTAATGCTGTCCTTCAGATGGATATATTCAAGCATCAACGACGTTTCTTTGCGATGCTCTGATAGGCCCAATTCACTCAAAATAGGAATGCCGAACTCATCTGCAAGAACAAATATTTTTAGATGGAAGAAAATACAAAGTTCTTTAAATAGTATATACAAAGGTTTCCACTAACCAACATTGTTAATTTTAAATGATAGGTATAGCTTCTATTTCGCTAACTATTATTATTATATGAAATACATATTGTTAACGATTTATTCCTAAACCACCGCTGGCATTATTTTTACGATATGCAGTAACATTGTGAGGTTATACAGGATTTTTTGAACTCATAGAAACTCTAAAAGGCACACTCTTTTATGAACATGTAAGTTCGGATAAATTGATATATATATATATATATAATAAATGTATTCATGAAAAAACGAGTTCCGAAGAAAATACTTACGGATCTGCATTTTGAGCGGGTGCTCACTCAAATATTGCCCGACCTGATCTAACGTAAGGTCGTTATCTCTAGAGCAGACGAGGTAAGCGGATACCTGCATTTGTTATGGTTCAACCAAACCAAGTCGAAACACATACTGTTATTAATCGAATCAAAGCGCGCCCAAGTAGCCCATAACAGAAGTCAGAATCGAACGCCTTCACCTTAGTCCCTTGATATCATTTTAAGCGCTTTGTTGTAGCTCTCAGAAAAAGCTATTAAGCTGTTATATACTTGTCGCACACCTGTCCACTAGTTGCCCTTTTGAGGCACGAAAAGCCTGTAACCACACAAACATCGAAAGAATAAGCGGGTTGAAGCCAACGTTATATATTCTTTTGTTCCAACCAAGAAGTAATTCAGGCGTGGCAATGATGTCAGGCGTTGTCATCACGTAACTACATTATGTGCTTACAATTGCTATGTCAACGGTTCATGAGCTTGTTAAAGAACTCGAGGTGACAGGCTGCATTCTTTATTTCATACTAGGTAGATCTCTCATAGCAGCAGACACTTCTGATATCCTTTAATTGTACTGCCATCACCTTACATTGAACCAACTCGAGATTAGCACTGAACATGATTTTTATCCTAGGTGACTCCTCTCTCTCTCGCTTAGACTCTCCCCGGCTAGCGGTAGAGATTGCACCATATATCATTTACGTAACCGTAAGCTCGAGTCAGATTTACGTTTGATTGAAGTTCTGCAAATTCGACCTGGAGTTCACTGCATGCATTTCTAACGGGCCTGGAGTCAATTCATAGGGGACCGAGTTTCCGCATTTTACACACTTGGGTTTTTATTTTGTGACCCGTTACATGCGAAATGTCCATGCCTTAGCCCACAGAGCCCTCAGACTCCATGTTCCGCTTTCGTGAAAAGCCTCTTTGACACTGAAGCGATGCGTTCTTATCCTTCAAGTCCAGATACCTGATTGTTTTTTTCCTGGCCTTCAACATTTCAATCTCTGTTTTTAAAGTGCTTGCTCCATTCACTTACTGTGCTTTTACTTACGGCTTCCGCGCCTAATGTCTTCATCGACTTCCGATGAATTTCCGCAGCGCTGTGACCTTTGAAGAACAAAAACTTAACCACTGAAGGTTGATTTTCGAGATAGAAAAATGTTTTTCTCTCTGAACTAATTTCTTGTCAATTAAGCTCATCCTGTTCTTACTCACAGTCTCACTTACTTCAGACTTAGTAAAGTATTTACCAGCCGATTCAAATTTGCTAGCGATGCGTACCTTTAGAGCATTTGAATTTTGAAAGCGTGCCGGATTTGCGTAGCCTTATATTAGAAAAAAGACAATATGGCCTTTAATATAAATACCTTCGCAAGATCTCCCTCCATATGTCTTAATACGTCCTCGGGAACGGATTCGTCCGTAAGCGATAGTACGGTTCCGTATAACCAGCGGAAGAACGTCTTTAAATTTCCAATGTTCCACGTTGCTACCTTCTCGTTGCAAATAGAAGAAAGCAGTGTTAGAACAAACGCCATGTTCAGTTAATTTGAGGTAGTACTAGCAGAGTTTAGTGATATCAATAAATTTGGTTATTTCTCCAAAAGGGATCAATGTTAGCATACCTGATGCAATTCAAGAACTTTAAGCACAAAGGATCTGAGCGCACGACTAAGACCTTCAAGTGTCTCCAATGAGATTGAACATAGCGCGTACTCTTTCCATGAAGCAAGTCCTTTCATTTGCTCGATGTGGAAGAACAGCCGGTGACAAACGGGTAGAACATGGCTAGAAAGAATTCGTGTCAAATTGCTATAACAGGCCTCTACGCTGACACTCAGCTTATGCAAACCCTTTGGGGTAACCTGAAAGCCAAAAAAACAGCAGGTAACGTGTTTGGTTGATAGCCTGTAGTATATGAATTGAGATGTACACACTTTTACAAGCTCAGTTTGACTTAAAGACACTGTCATAGTTCCAACAGAAAGATTTTAAAATAAATAATAATATTAAGTTTACATAATAAACTTCATAAACATATATAGTAAACTTAATAAAAATTTTGCTTACTCAAAAGCTATACCTTGTATAGAAGAACGTCTCTCAGAGCCGTCGAAAGTGTCCCGAAAACAACCAGTTCCAAAAGGTCGTCCGAAAAAGATGCACCGTGTGAGAAGTTGATCAACTTTGAATCCATCTCGAGTACTACGTCATCCCACGATTCCCTCAAAAGGCTCATCGAAGCGCCCAGATACTCTGCAAATGACGTTAAAAGTAGAACGTCAGTCACAGAACAATTATCAGAGCGTGGAAAATGTTTTTGCCGCAAATAGATTCTCGAGACACGAAGATTTTGCTAATCAAAAAATTGCAAGCCTGCTATCATCGATTATCCTCGATTGAGTGTAGTATAAGCACTCCTACTTGTTCCGATGGACACAAGAATTTATGTATACAGCAACAATCTATAGGTAATAATAAAAGATCTTCTGATACACAAAAGCAAGTGGCAACTAAAGTACTCTATATTAGTTGACGGTCTTTAAAAATAACTGACACCCTGAATATTACAAAAATATCTGCATAAGTCTTACGTGATTATCGGCGTTTAAAATTTAGAAATGTCCAGGCTTTACAATGTGTTAAAGTAAATTTTACGACCAGGTGTTTAGTTTAAAATTCATATATATTTTTGGGTTTGTCTGCTGCTTATAAAATTGAATCTATCGAAAATAAATTGGATTCTTCACTTGAATCGTACACACCATACAAAGACGCATAAATGGTATAATTTTCCGTTGTTTTTCATGCTTTAATTAGTAATTAAAATTAGTTATTAATTTATTAAAACCAGTAACGTTGCTCCGATATTTTAGTAGACCTTCTATCTCGCAACGGCTTTTCCTCCAGCGTTACTTGAACGGATCTGCGAATTTAAAAACTGTTCTCTGCATGAAATACCTATACTTATTGTAGATGAGTAGGTCAAAGGTCAACTGGAACGAAAAACATACGTCTCTGTAGGTAATCGTAAGTACACTCGTATGCTTGGCTTTACCTACGTAGCACCATCTAAAAGCTATATTGAGCGCATACCAGGATATCGCTGTATTCTGAACTAGTGATGAATTAATCTCAAGAACAGTCTTTTTATTCACCATATATATCAGCAAAAAAAAGAGCCAGAAATTTCAATCCGTATTTAATCAGCTAAATATACTCTAAGACGGATTTAAACTATAAAAGACAGCAACATAATTATACAACGTTGAACATATGACGGTAATAACAACCTCTGTATCAGTTTTTTTACAGCAGTACAGGAAAATTAGATTAAATAATTTTGTGTGAACATCCAGTCATTTGGATGTTGTACGTTACACAATTATGCTTTAATACCATTTAAACTCTTGTAAGCTGATTACCGTCAAGATGACCAATATGTCGGTTGTAATAGGCCATTGTCTGGAGTTGGTCGAGTTTCTCCTTGAGAAGCGGTGTGGAATAAACGATGTACTCCCCAGCACGACTTACTGAGAATATTCGTGCCGCGTCGTGGCTCATTGACGCGCACAACAAATCGCTAGCCTAAAATATACCAAATAACTTTTCATAATTAATAGCAGGATACCACTTAGCCCCTGTATATTTGATATACGTATATCAAGTCACGAAGTAGAACTAGTTTTCTAGATTGTGTCATAATTAGCTTGTAAATAAACTAACAATATGGTTTACCTGAATTGAGCCGCAGGGCAAGGTTCCATGGAGGTAAAGGTTGAGTGTATCGCGTGACAAGCACAGTAGCATGTTAAATGGTACCTTCTCAGGAGGCGGTCTTGCTGTCTTTAGGTTTTTCAGAGGCTCTAGCTTTGAGGGATGATTGTCCTGCGAAACTACATCTCCCACTCGATCCCTATCAGGATCTAGAATCCAGTGAAGGCCTGTCACCGGTCGATCATCTTTAATATGATGTACGACCTGTCCCTGCTCAACGTGACATAACTCCAGACGGCCTGAGGAAAATAAGTTCTTTCATTAATCACATCCGTCATATAGTATAGAACGACCAAGCCGACTATACTGTAATAGGTGTTTGAGTCCCCTCCTCTTCGGTTATGCTCATCCAGTAATCAAAGGAAATCACACTCATCTATTGTAAATACATACTGTCCGAGTATGAGATCGCGAGCAGCTGTCCGTCCGGTTTCCAATGAAGTGCCTGCACGATGACGCCCTCTTCGCGAGGTTTTGGCCTGGCCCAGACCTTCTGCCACCGGTGACGGTGTACGACAACCTCACCCGACTCGAAGGCTATGGCTAGAAGGTCCATTCGAGGAGACCATGCCATCAAGTGAGCGACCCCAGAAAGAGATTTGTCTTCCAACTGCTGAAAGGGCGCCATCTGTATGAGGAAGATGCGGGACGATAGAAGAGTATAAGAACGTTATTGTTTAACGATGTCATCGTTTGCCTGTACATTTATTTCGAGAACAACTCTTTGCTGAGCTAATTGTCTATGATTCTCAGGCCATGTACTTCCACGACGTCTTATGGTTACGCACATATTTGGTATGACGATGTAATTCAAACCGATATTATTCATGAATACCCCATAGTAAGTTTATCTTGCTAACAAAAAGGAAAGTTTAAACGAAAACCGTCACTTAAGCCATAATAAACTAATAAACCATTTTATTAGATTATTTTTTTATCTGCTCTGATGTATGATGTTGCTAAGCTGTTAGAGTTGAGCTACAAGACTCACGCAACAGAAACTTTACCTTAGTAGTGACAGCGAATGCATTCAAACTCTTACGGCACGCCAACCGTTCCTGACAAATCTACGAAGTGTTTGTTTCTTACGATCACGATTTGAAATTGTTGCTTATTAGAACATGATGTTAAAACCTATTCTAGGACCAACATTGGACTCTTTGGTGGTTCAACTCGGATCCCCTGGCAATGTATTGTTTATATGTACCCGATGCATATCTTTTGTTTCTCTCGAAAAAAAGGATTTTTTGCTAAAACACTACGCAATATATGAAGCAGAAGAAATATCATTGTATTTCCACACCGTCTTTGTCTGCATCAGCTATATAGCTCATTACTCTACTTGAAACCTATGCACAGTGGCTGTATACAATTCAATCTGCGAATTTATCGGCTCGCTGAATGTGCCGACGCCTACCAGGCTATTATGGCAGTAGTGAAACTACGGCGTAGTTCGAGCACTGACTGTAAACACTGATGGTATTACTTATTATATTATTCATTATCAATCTCAGTTGACAAATATCAGTAAGATCTATTCATCTCGAAGATTTTTCCTAGTAAGTAAACAATACTAACCCAAGCACTATATATTTGCAAATCTGAATTGAATATAGCTGATCGTTGTATAAAACAATTATTATTCGATTACAACTACAACAGCGTATGGGACTAATAAATGTAGCCGAAACATAATTCCATGTAAAGTGTCCTACCATGAGTAATGCATTCGGAACACTCAAAGATATGACAAAATCAGCCCTCAATTTAAAATGGCTGATTTTTTCATACCTTTGAGTTGTGCGATATTCAGCTTAATATTTAACATCAGTCTGAAAAATGCCCAGATTCCTTGCGTCAACGTTTGACGCTATCTATGGCAAGCATTATAGGATATACTCCTTTTATCTCATGCTTTCAATTGGACAAACTCCGTGCTGCTTTTGCGAGCTTACCTAATATGTACTTATTTGTTTACGTACACAACCTTTGACGTTACTAATAAATGGATTTCATGAATTTTTACGTTCCATAAAACATAAGATTCTTTCTCCAGCAACGCTTATAATCCTCGTACACAGCGGGGCAAATATATCGCATTGTATTACGTATCTATAGTAATTTTTACCTCATTACCTCATAATGGACCATTTAATAATGTAAAAAAATGCATTACATCGTAGCTAGCTAACAGATCCGTGTTTTATTGCATATAGTTCATCGTATGATACAAATGATTATCCTGGCCAACCACTAAAGTACAACCAGAGTCAATTCAATTGAATCGTTTCGTAAATAAAAAAAACCAAAAGATCCATTTAGGGAAAGCTTAACTGCAATTTCCCTATCCAGAATCAAGTAAATGCTTAGCTGTACGACATCATTCACGGAGAAATCGCAATGGTCAAGTTCTTCACAATCTCCCCTCCTCCTGCCACATTAATGATAAATATTTTAAGACGTTCACAGACTCGCCTACAATTTCTCATATATCTCTCTCATATACAAAAATCTCATATACGCATTTAAAGACTTGGCTGCTTTCGAGCATAGTTTATGTCAGTGTGCCAGTATAAACAGAATAAAACTGAGATTTTTTAAGCAGACGACATTTTTACGGCAAAAACACAATACTTCAAACCCTTCATTGTGGTAAACTTCAACAATTAAAGTCTGCTAACGAAAATGAGTCCAACCTTCATTTTGAGGACGCACGACGCCTTATCAGTAAACACCGATGAGTCGGCTGTTAAAGAACAATCCAGATTATAGATTCAAGTGGGCATAGCGAAAGTTCAAACTTTGCAAAAAAAGTCCACGCCTATTTTTATCAAACTCTTTATGTACAACTACAACGTGCCCACCCATCTTTTTCCCTGCTGTAATCTTGTTCCCTTTAGAACATTTGCTGCTTCTATTGACAGCCAAACATAGAAAACAAAGGCTTGAAACAATGTCAATGGCTGATACTGACTAGAATTTGGATTGGTAAATTCTGTTGCTGTAAAAGAAAAACAGGGAGGAAATAAAAACAAAATTCACTTTCTGATGTTTTTAGACAAAAACGTAATAATAAGCTTAAAATTGTCAGTTTCGCGTCTTTCGTGGAAATCAAGTGAAGTTGATCTAATAGCTAGATTTCATAGCAGAACTACCGTCAGAAACTATGCACACAAAAGTGATCTTCACTTTCGACGGAAAACGTTGATAAGTTCAGTACAGTAATTCATAGTCACACGCTTCAACGAGATAAATTTGACCATGACAAGATAAAAACAGTTGCTTTAAAATGTGACAGTTTTTATAATCCTTGACGGCAAAATATTACCTACGACGCTCTGTGATAATAATAATAATGACAATAATAAGTTAACCGTATCTTAAAATAACTAATACAGCAGAGGCCGTGTGTTTAGTCGCGAAACAATCTTATTTGTTTGAGATGACCTTTTTTATACCAAGGAACTTTGTTTAGAAGCCGCTATAAGCCTGAGTAGGGCATCGGGCGTCATCCCCTGTATCCGCGAAGCTGCCCCTATCGTGGACGGCCGTGCGGCTTCGAGCTTGCCTCGAATCTCGTTCGATAAATTGAAGCGTTTGTAATCGATATTTTCGGGAATTTTCGCTTCTTCTTGACTTGACAACGTCTTGATCTCATCGAGCTGATTCTCAACTAACGGTTCATATATTGCTTCGACCATCAAACGATGGAACAGATTGCGATTCTGTTGAACTGCCACTATATCAGGGTGATAGTCAAAAGCCATTAGCAACTCCTCAATGTCCAGGGAATCGACCGTCAAAAGCGAGTAACCAGACCGCATATTGGAGTTAGATGAAAGGTTACTCTTAGGCATCAACTTTCCCCATTGATTTGTTGCCATCCTTTTCGTCTGTAAAGCCCGCTTTGCATTAGCCAACTTCGTTCGAGTTTCGACAAGACGGGAGTAGCGCTTCTCGTCCACGCATCCCGCTATATATCCTTTTTCCGTCAATCTCAAATCTGCATTATCTGGTCGAAGGTAAAGCCGAAATTCAGATCTTGACGTAAACATACGGTAAGGCTCCATTGTCCCGTGTGTGGTTAGGTCATCAATTAATACTCCTATATTGCTTTCCAGTCTGCTAAACGTGACAGCATTTTCGCCCTGCACACGGCGGGCGGCGTTGATACCTGCAACGACTCCTTGAACAGCAGCCTCCTCGTAACCTGTCGTTCCATTGATCTGTCCAGCGAAAAAAAGGCCAGGCACTTTTTTCGTCTCCATGGACGGATAGAGCTCGCGTGGGTCAACATAATCATATTCAACGCCATAACCAGGTCTCGCAAGTTCCGCCTTCTTGCAGCCCATCATACACTGCACGAGCTTCAATTGTTCTTCGGCAGGGAGTGTGCACGAGATGCCATTTGGGTAGATGAGGTCCGAGTCAAAGCCTTCACTTTCTAGCCAAACCTGGTGCTGACGCCCACTAAAGCGGATCACTTTTGATTCAATCGATGGACAATATCGGGGCCCATTAATCTCTTCGGCGACATGTCGGTTTCGGTGCATGTTGGCGAGGACTATTTTCTCTATTTCCTCCGTTGTATAGGTCATATACGAGGATACCTGCTGATCTGCCGTTAACCATACGCTGTCGTTCATAAAGGAAAAAGGCACTGGCGGGTTGTCATTGGCCATTTCCTCCAAATCCTTAAAATCTATAGAGCTTTTAATCAGTCTAGGGGGAGTGCCAGTCTTGAGCCGGCCAATGCGGAAGCGTAATCTATCCAGTGTGTTTGCCAGGCCAATCGAGGACCTATCGCCGAGTCTTCCAGCGGGCCAACTATCTTCACCGATATTAATCATCGCCTTGAGGAAGGTGCCCGTTGTTAAAACGACCGTCTGTGCATCAACCTCCTCCCCCGTTTCAAGCACGATACCAGCGCATTTTCCGTCTTCGAGACGAAGGTTCTCAACACTAGCTTCGTACACCTCAAGATTCGGATGTTGTTCAATTGTTTTCTGCATGTTAGCCTTGAAAATTTTGCGATCCATCTGAGCTCGTAGCCCCCACACCGCAGGGCCTTTCCGCCGATTCAGCACTTTATACCCTATACCGGAGTAATCACAAATGTTGGGGGCCAGACCTCCGAGCGCATCGAGCTCGCGTAATAGATGCCCTTTGCCGATGCCACCAAACGACGGATTACAAGACATTTCGCCAATTGTGTCGAACTTGTGTGTCACGAGAGCTGTCGATGCGCCCATACGCGCAGCGGCGGAAGCAGCTTCACAGCCGGCATGGCCTCCACCGACTACAAGGACATCGAATCGGTGTCGCGGAACCGTCGAATTCAAAAGACGTCGTACGTGCAGCATTTCTGCGAGTCGGTATTCTGTTAAGGTTATATCCACCCACGTGTTCTGTGTCTGTTTATATAACTAGTGAACAGACAATCGGCCGGAGACCTTTATTAAAAAGGTTTCGTTGCTCAGTAGACTCTTCCCGCCTTTTCTCGACCGCCGTTTCAAGAGGTCTTCCTATGATCGGGTGTGCATACAATCGGCCACCTCTGCAAAAGAGAGACGCCATTCATCCACTGGTTAATAAACCATAACCACGCTAAACAACTGCTCATTCGAAGATTATGCCGGTATAGGGAAGTGTGGAAGAGAGGCATGGACGTGTTTGTTAGGTAGAATTATCTGGGCAACATTTATGTTTTCAGATCTCTGTGACATTTGCAGTTCGATTATTGCTTGTAGCTACCTTGAGATGATGCGCGTTTGTCCTACATGTATAGGCCCTCTTGTGGAGGGAATGCGAAGCTTACACCACATTTTCTGTCTTTTACGGATTACTTTCGTAAAGGCTTGTATCGTACGTGACTAAGGTGAAGCGTCTTATGATTTAGTCAAACGCTCTTTTAATTAGACGGCGCATACAACAAAATGAATAATAAAATCATGTTACAGTCAAATATGTATACATATATGTCTATAGTCCAAGGCCTATGGACGCCTTGAATATGTATTGGCGAACTGTATCTCCAAACGTTTATTGCAAAATACGCAAACTTTGATTATTAAAACATATTTATTTACCCTTGTTAAAATAACTTAGCATTTTAAACTTGATTATCATACTAAACTCGGTTTCAGAAAATTACGCTCAGGTCATAAGTTAGTGCATAAGGCAGTAGTTATAATCGCTAAAATTTAAAAATACATTTAAAACAATTTTTCGAATCCAAAACAATTGAGTGACGGCAAAACCACTTCAGAGAATCTCACATTTGTTTCGACCAATGTGTTTGTTTAATTCTATCGTCAGCTGATCGAACACGTCTATTCAGTGCCTACTGGAAGCTATTAATTGACCATCTAAATATAAAGCGTTGTCCACCGACCCTCGTACCTCTGCCTGCATCATCCCCTATGCATATATACAGAAGCGTTAACGATTCAGAACGTCTTCGCACGCCGAGCGCTGTCTGGCGTTGAATCGCGTCCGCCAGTGAAATCTCACCCAGTAATTCAGCCGGGTAGCGAAGATGCTATTGGTGGTTTTCCTTGAAGGCACCGCGGTACTTGCACATCAATCGTGTAACGCTCGACGAAGATGAACTTTCTTTCAACTTACTTTTTCCAACAGTAACGAAATAAGCATCTGTAGGTGCCGCGTTTGCGACAAAAAAGAGAAATTAAAATTTCCTAAAAGTCCTTTCCAAAGAGGCCTTTTGTTTTCATTAACATCTGCAACACTACGCTATGTCTTGACTGCTGTTCAAAAGAGCCCAGATCGTAGACGACAGTTTTGCATCGGCTCCTAAACACGTTGCACTTTACAACTATTTTTCATACGAACGAAACTATTGTTATAATATGACTTCATGTGTATAAATACTGACCTTCTTTATTGCCGACCAACTGAACGTTCGCTCTCCAAAACGCTTCTAGTGAGCCATTTTTCATTATAGTCTATCTACGTCCGAGAATTAAGCGAAGGGACAATTATTTCTCGGATGGTAATACGCAGATAGTCGAATCAGCCATAACCCAGCAAAAATAAACACCCCAATAGGGGATTCGAAAGAACGACCGAAGGCCACAAACCACAAGAAATAGATCCAACATAACCTGAGTGTCAACGATGCGTTTTCACATTTTGTGGAGTGAAGGCCGCTCGTGGTATTAGCCACTTCGTGAGAAACAGCAGCGACACAGGTAAGTAACCGTGGCTCAAGGAAGCATGTTTATACTGAATGTTTACATAATTTCTAGTTTTGCAGATATTAACTTATAAAGTTTCGTTGGAACAAGAAAAATCAAAGCCTAGTGTTGATCCAATGAAGTTTTAACTAGAAGTCACTTAGGCAGGCCCATGAGGCTTACTTGAATTAACTGTAAATTTATCTACTAATTTGAAAAAACCCCCTAATTGTATAATATCTTCTGAAATTCCAAATATCATGAGACGCAACGCATAACTAAAGTGTCATTACTGGCAACAGTCTGAAAATAGACTTTTGATTGAGTTATCTTTAGTAAAAGTCACTCTTGAAACGACATCTTCAGTGCATGCATCGAATGTAACGATGCACCCTAAAATACGTAGTGCCAGTACCCAATATGTCAATGAATGTAAGTGTGCTTCGAAACAGTGATTACATTTGTAGCATACACAATCTAACAGTGACGGTTTGCCGAACAAATCCCCAGTTGTTCTTGTTCTCAAGAAATCTCTACCTAGACAGCCTCTGTACGTCTGATGAGACAGTTTTAACCGTTCTAACCGATTCTAATGATGATGAAAATTATTACTAATAATTATTAGTTAAGTTATTGGTCTTGCTTTTGCTGACTCACCGGCAGGACATGCCAATATAGGCTCGGCCAGAAGGTGCGCGATTGTCGTTGTAAAAAAACGTTACTTGATCCTCTCCATAGCTCCGCCGCACTCAACATTTGCGCCGCAATGGCCGGCAGCTCTGGCGGAGGTTCCGACGAAGAAAACAAGGAAGAGGGGGTTTACTGCATTTGCCGAACGTCGGATACGTCACGTTTTATGATTGGATGTGACAACTGCAACGAGTGGTACCATGGAGACTGTATTTCGATTACGCCCGAGTTTTCGCGGAATATTTCGAAATTCTTCTGCCTCCTATGTAGGACTGGGAACCCGGCGCTAAAAACGATCTTCAAGGGTGATAAAAAATCCTGCGGTGAATGCAGTGCCTGCGTCCGCTCTCAAAACTGTGGAAAGTGTGACACATGCCTTGACGGAGCAGGAAAAAAATGTAGAAAGCGTATTTGCAAAGTAAGGCCACGATTGTGTGAGAAGAATAGCTTTAAGATGTTGGCGTTACAGGTATTGTTAATCTGTATCGTCGCCGAAGGCAGTCTCGTGTACTACGAACAGATTCGATTTGACTTGATGGCAGCATGCGGCATAGTGATAGCAGAATGACTAAACGTTTGTCAATTTTAAAATAAAGAAGAAGTGTCAGGCGGAAAACGCTTTTCAAATTGTTCGTTTACACTTGCAAGTGTGTTGTACACAAATTCAAATGTGTTATACACGCGAGAAACATGAATAAAGTTTAGAAAAAGTTCTATAATCATCACATGGCATAAAATAAGTAACAACTGTAATTTGATCATATAAACAAGTTAGCAATTTTCGAATGCAGGATAATTTATTTAAAATTTTCGTACATTTTAAATTTGATGCATTGATGGTTATAACATAGAACTTTCATTTGTTTTCCTTTGTTTATAACATAGAAAAACTTAGAAAATAAAGATTGTAAACATTAGTTTCATTATGAAACTTTTGCATATATCTTAATGGTACTGTTATTCTTTAATAACAATGATTAATGTATTACAGCTAAAGACAGCCCACGTTTTCTTAGCCCTCTAAAAGTATGTTATAAACATAAATGATTGAAAAAAAAATTGAAATGCACGAAAATTTTAAATAAATTATCTTGCATTTAAAAATTGTTAACTTGTTTATATGATCAAATTAGAGTTATTATGTCATGATTACAGAATTTTTTCTGAACTTTATTCATGTTTCTTATGTGTGTATAACACATTCGAATGTAAAACAACAATTCGAAAAACGTTTTCCGCCTGACACTTTTTTTTGTGTACGTTTACTAAAACTAACTTGGATCATGGCCTCATACAGAAAAATACAAATAAAACCTTGTATCTATTCCAGTCGTGCATTCAAAAGGTTATAAACAAAATGAGCAACGTTACAATACTGAAGATGATAATCGAATGTACGCGCGTCGATCCATTGCTTTGTCTATCTACCCCTTGTTTAGGTTGAACGGAAGCGCAGGGAAGAAAAACGTGAAAAGCGACGCCGTGAAGAAGAGGAGCGCCTCCGAGCCGAACAGGAGGAGCGAGAACGGCGTAAAAAAGAAAAGGAACGTCGACGTAAAGAAAAAGAACTTCAGCTCAAACGCGAAGCTGAAGAGCGGGAGCGACGCGAACGTGAACTCGAAGAACAGCGTGAAGCCGAACGTAAACGTCAAGCCCTTGAACGAGAGCGTCAATTGGCGCAACAGCAACAGCAGCAACAGTCGAGCCAACGAAAAAGTGCCCGAGATAAATACCTTCAAGATGATGAATACGTACCAGAAAGTGGCGGAAGCAGCGGGCGACTCACCACTAAACGGAGCAGCACGAAAAAACAGCAGAGGCAACAAGATTATCAGGTAGGCAGACAGACGATATTTATATGGGAACAGGCGCAGCGTTGCATGGAAATTGATTCTATGTCACATGTAGCACGAAGCGTTGGTCCTTAATGAACTTGATTGTGTGATTAATATTGTGATTATAAGTGTTAATAAATGATATCTCATTATATTTGATTTTGACTAAGTGTAAAATATCCTACACAGGTGTTGGCATCAATGAGGTAAATTAAGTAGAAAAAACTTGGCTTTTCTGCAAGCGTATAGCGAGCTTTAAAAATGGTATCCGAAATTACGTGGTGACGTATCCCGATTTTCACGCGTACCCTTTTTATTACCATTAATTGATTTATTGCAATATACTTTGTCGACTAAGGTGGCGCCGCGTCGACTTCGACGGCGGGTTGGTGATGACGATTATTCATGGAATGACCGGGGTCGAACCGTTCAAGAAGAGGCCAAACAATGTTTTGGCCCGAAGTGCGCGCAAGTGGCTCGTGCAAATTCGAAATATTGCTCAGACGAATGTGGCATGAAACTCGCAATGAGTCGAATTTTTGAGATTCTGCCTGCGAGGATACAGAGTTGGCAGAAACGAACTGCCGAGGCAGAATTGTCAAATGAGCGACAACTGCAAAAAATTAGGTGAGTAGGAATTCTACATAGCAGCGTTATTGATTTCATTCAAATACTCACATATTATGTCAAACGCGCAGTCGTAAAAATCCGTGATAATATCGTTGATCAAAATCGCATTTGAAGGCTCTGTCAGCAAGACGAATCTGAGTTAACTCTTTTCAGCTAGGTGAAAACATATTTATAATAAAATTGTAGCTAATCCTCCTTGCCATAAGTATCAGCAGGATACAATCACGCTAATGCGAACAGCTTTAATCGATCTTTTTACTAGGGAGCAAATACATGATGCTCATCTGGAAGAATTGGACTATAGGCGTAAGAAGATGGAACTCGAAAATCTCATTCGTCGTGCGAAGTCAACGCTGATCAGCGAGGAAGATGTTGAAGAGTCTGAGGATCAAGAACAAATTTATTGCGTGACCTGCGGCCATGAGTTTCAAACAAGAACAGCCATTCGTCATATGGAACGGTGCTTCAACCGTTACGAAAGTCAAACATCGTATGGGAGCGCGTATCCAACGAAAGGTGACCTCGCTGAGATGTTCTGCGAATTTCATGTTCCATCACAACAGAGCTATTGCAAACGTCTTAAGATTCTTTGTCCTGAACATTATAAGGTGAGCTGGTGGTTTTATACATCAGATAATACTATTTAGAGATAATTATTGAGTATTTCAACTGTTACAACTCAAACTTATTAATACAGCAGCTGTTTATAATAAAATGTCACCTTTAACCTGAGCTATTTACTATGCATAATACGAGACGTTCAAAAACTACACATTTTCAAGACTTGTGCTGTACCGCAGAAGCAAAATAAGCCTTGAGAATCGTTGATGTTTTCTTTTTCAATTACGTTAACATACTCTATAAACAGAATTGATCCTCCCTTGCATCTAGATATTCGAATGCGCTCCGTTGTATTAGATACGAGGTATTCGCTGACCAACTCGCTTTTATTATGTATCCGAATTTAACTGTATCCACTTAGTTCTGTACAAGCTTAACAAAAAAGCATCTCATTAAAAGAAGGAGTAAACTAGCGTGCAATAATAGTCATTAAAACAGCCATAGTTTAATACAATAATGCAGTTTGCAAGGGGGTAAAGTTCATTGCCACATAGGACATCAATAACGCCTATTTTAGATGTAAACGAACAGATATAGACAAACTCAAAACTTTTTCAAATCAATTTTTCAGGAACCCAAAGTGATGGACACTGAAGTATGTGGCTTTCCAATACAGAGAGAACTTTTCAACGACGAGGATGTTGATTTCTGCCGTTTGCCGAAGAAGAAATGTATTAAGCATATCTCTTGGGAACGAATGAAACGAGCGCAGGTCGATATGGAAATCATTCGAGCGAGGTTGGTTGCTTTATATGTTACTATGCTCTGTTTAGGTGTTTGGCAATGCGATGAGAAAATGGTCAGAAAAGCAGATTGCTATATTGAGAACTAATTAGTTAATCAATTAGAATTAATTAATTAGAAATTCATAAGTTTTGCAAGATAGTAATTCTCAATATAGCAATCTGTTTTTCTTATTAACAACTGTATATGTGCCTGCATCATAGCTGTCGTAATGACCCAAAGTGCCCGGTTGTCTTAGCAGATACATTAGAACTCAGTGGTAAACCGGGAAAAGGATGAAAAATTGGTATTTATAATAATAATAATGTTATTTACATATCTTGAGGTTCACAAAGAAGTTGTACAGCATTAAGTAATAAATATATATCCTTGTGGTCGCTTTAACAGAAAAAAAGCGATCAACAGTTTTTAAAACACAAAGGTCAAAAAGATAATGCAAGGAACGTGATAGCTAGTGTTATATTTGTCAATAATTCAACAAATATAAGTAAATGAGAACGATGACGTCCATAACGGACACATAAGTATATATAATTACTGATGATTTTTTTCTTTCCTTCAAGGTTGAAGCGTGAAGAGCTATCGGAACAGGAACGTACAATACAAATCCAAATGGCAAGTCGTGGTGGGGTGCTCGGCCTTATGTTGCACAACACGGTTGAACACGATGATGAACCGCCGCATTCACTGCATAGCGATCTGCGACGAAACTCCAATGACATCGGAAGATCAGGGGGGCCGCATAAGGCACTGATCAACCATCCTCGCTTTAAGGAGATCCGAGAAGGACCCGGGTCACCTTCTGGCGCGTATAGAGGAGACCATGATTATGGGTTCCGGCCAACGTGATAATGTCATTATTAATTATGTTAATGTAATATTTAATGGTGGGAGTCTCTACAAGGACATGGCGCGAGGCTGTATTGTTAGCTGACGATTTACAAGCATGGCCTTAAGCCCTTACGCCATTGATAAATCCGTACGTAAATTTATGATGACAAATAGACGGACATCCGTGCAGTTTTAAAAGTCAGTATGTTGCGTATCTTCTAAAATAGCAGCTGTTTAGGTATATGAAATTCAATTAGTATCGGATAGGCAGCAAGTAGTTGGTTACATAGACAATCTGTACATAATAATTGGACTAGTAGTAATAAGAAGATTCAAATTAATTAAGGTTGCGATGAATACTGGGTGTATTACACATAATTTGGATAGGAATGAAGCGAATTAAAGAATGAGATAGAATAAAGTTAGGTGTCTCAAGTATCGCAAAAGATGTGAACCAGAAAGCACCTATGAATTCCCGAATACAGCTGTTTCATCCTGGCACATGAATGATTGCCGTGCCTCGAAGATTATATGTAAATACACTGTAAAGTCAAAAAAACTGCTTGTAATTCACTTGGAATATGTTATTATATGCGTTTTTTTTAGAGAATATTCAGCTGAGATTATTTTAGCGACATTTTTTGCATATGCTAAAAGACAATTTTTGACGGTTATATTCATTCAATACAAGTATCATCAAAGTATCCCCAACATAACTTCGATTGAGAAACTAAGCCATTCACTAATAGTTTTTAAAATGTTCTTTCTTTAATCCTGTAATAACTTTTTAGTAGTCACTAATAGTTAAACGATATTGACAAATTTTTCAGAAAGTTCGAAAAAGGCAAGGGTTTAAACAAGGATAAAAGTTCGAATGGTGTAAAAGGCCACAGAAAGTCTCAATAGGACTAGTCGTTGATCTCATCTAAAAGACCGAATGTCGATTTCAATTGACATCGTCCTCTTCGAAACGACTTTTGATTTTTCTCATAAATATCGCAGTATATCAAACACGGCTTTTTAAGCCATTTCAATCAAACAGAGTGCTTTAAACGTAAGGTCCATTATAAATCTTTCTTGAATTTTCAAAAACTGCATGAAAACGCGGATTTTGCACAAAAAAGAGCAGAAAATAATCTTCATTCACACAAGCCTACGTAGTGTGTGTCGTAACATATAAATATATTTTATCCTTCGTATACCTTCTTTTGAATAGCCTTAAGAAAAAACTGTAGACGGCGAAGAAGCAGTTTGTTGTTACCATCTCCGACAATAGAATAGTCAATACTATCTCTTAACTCCAAGCTTAGATAATGTGTCTATGGGGAAATAGTTCCATACGAAAAAAAGAAAAAGGCTAGAACAAGAATTTTGGGCATATTATCCTTTTTATTTTTCTGGAAAAAGAATAAGTTGGCATAGACTGCGCAAGGAACATACTGTGTGTGTGAGCCTTCAGCACTTATCAGTCGCAAAGCTCAAAAGTGTTTCATTCTGCAAAAAGGAACCTTAAGATCCGCAATTAGTTGCGATTCGGGAAGTTAAAAAGGTTTACGCAACCCGTAATAATGGCACTTAGAGATGGAAGTCTATATCATATGATAGTAAAAGTCTACTTGTTGCATTGATAGAAACTTTTCAGATCCATCTGTATACACGACACGATATATTTTCGGATGTTTGAGTGCCTCACCAAATACTAGGTGCAGCCTGCATTAAAAAACGAGGGTCGGCCTTTTTTACATGCAATCGTGACTACAAGAGCAAGATAGGCGCTGTAAAACTAAATGGAGAAAAAAAGCATTCAGTAACATTCCCCAAATAATTTCTCACTGCTGATTCTCATTTTACATATATTCTGTTGTGGACCAAGTCCAGCTACCTTTATGCAACAAAAGTGTCGTAAAAGTCGAAACAAGCCCATTTGTAGTACAACACTATTTGTGAAAAGTAACACATGTTTTTGTAGACTTTAACCGAACAAATGAAATTTATTAAAAATATTTTAAAACAGGCTAAAATGAATATAATTTGTAAAAGAAATAGAGACGCTTACCCATCTGAGTAGAGTATTTTCGCATAAATTTGGTATTCCTCAAAAAAATGATCAAGCTTTGATCGGGATTGATCTTGAGACAGCTGGTGCCTGCTAGAACTAAACGAACTGTGTGACCTTAAACCAGGGCTTAAAGCTAAGTTCCTATGCGCCCTTAAGTTTAGTAAGCAAACACTTTACCAAAAATCACGGAAACATATTCAGTCCTTTAGCTTGAATCAAAAATTTTTATTGACTAATAGATCGAATATGGTGTTGCATGGGTCCACCCAAGGTTTCAGCTATGGATCCGACAAAAAACATCACTGGAGTCACCTGGTGAAACTACCTTCATTACTAAATTTAATAATAGGCCATCTCAGAGATCTGCCTGGACTCAGATTGGATAAAGAAAAATAACCCATTTAAACTAATCGGAGCAGTTTTTTCGCCCTAATTTCAAGTCCACAACAACGGCATAATCAAACTATCATAAAACCATTTATTTTGCACCCTTTCTAATACGACAATTTTTACTTCGTCCATTACGTCCAAATACGAGAATCGATTACACAACTGGTTCGTTAGTACACATTCAGTACTATCAAGAGATTTATTATTTAAAATCTCAGTTTCCAGCAAAAAATACTACTCGTTAATTCCTGCATTTACCGGTGTATTCATTCGAATATATTCACAGAGACCTGAAGTTGAAAACTAATGATTACATGTACGAAATGTAATAATAGCAATATTCCAGTAAGGACTTCTAGAAGTAACGTTAAAGGTAACCAGGACAATTTTGCACCAAAAAACTTTGCAAGGTTTCTTTCGAATGAGTATTTATGAAATCTGACAGAGTGACTTTACTTCGTCGATCCGTCAGTCCCAGACTGGGCCACCTCGGTTGAAGGTGTTGCGCCTATTCGTTGAGACCTACGAGGAAGAGTGAAGAAATGAGCTGTAACATGTTATCAGAATCGCCCACGTGGTGGAGTCACGAACATGTCAAATTAGAAATCACCATTGGCCAAGCCCTCTATTGAAAGTAAGGTATACGAAAACCTCTAAAATGTAAGAAAATCTCCCTTACAAAGTAATAGACCAATGAAATTCAAATCAACTGCTCAAGTTTTATTTTTATTAATTATTATTATTATAAAGTATTAATTGTAATTAGGTGCACAGGTCCGGTCGATTTAATTATGAGGTGCAAGGCTATTGGAACATATTGATCTATTTGTTTGCTGCTAAAAGCTGATCTTTTTAGCCAACGGATGTAGTGTTCGTATTAATCATAGTTTGCCAGTTCTGAAGCACTTGCATAGCTTAAACAGATTTAATAGACTGTCAGTACTCATACTAATATCATATACAAGAAATTAATTACGATACGAAGTTAACTAACTTCGTGTCGTATTAGCTGGTTTCTATATTCAGACTGCGTTCTATTTCGAAATAAAACATACAGTTTGAAATTCAAGGTTCTATGTGCCGTGCTGATCAGATTTAGGAAGCGCTAATATTTCGTTATGTTTTGGAGTTATGACAAAACATTTTTGAAAGTGATTTGATTATACGTCCAGTAGTAGCCTATTGCACCGAATGTTATTGAGGGAACTACAGGTTAGCAGAGAGAGGCTATCGTCAATCTGTTTTAAACTGTCACAAACATCTGTTTCAATAATGTCCTTTTCCATTTTGTTAAGGCCTGTTGTGTGGTCGTCTTTACATCGTTCTAACGCACTAAACATATACATGAATATCCGTATCGAACAGAAAAACTCCAGTATTTGTGGCATGGGCAACACTGGATTGTTACTTCGATTCAATAATTTCCATCATAATTATTTGAAAGGTTCGCCGGCTCTGCTGTGGTCGATTACTACGCACAAGAAACAGGTCCAGCCAGCCGGTCAAAAGAGTCGCTGTACCTCCGTTTCAGAGATACTCGTCGATATAGTAAAGTTATGAGTCCTTTATGTATTTATGAACTATATAAGTGTACTTGCAAAAATTTTCGTCAAAGCCGTCTCTATATTGCGTAGTTGGCAAGTTGATTGCCGGACTTGTATTTTCGCCGGTTTAGCTTAAGACACAACGCAAGTCTAGTGAGAAAAGCTAACCAATTTGCACAGTTTTTTTTATTGGGTGTATGAAAGCAGCAAATAAATCATGAAAGAATGCACGACTTTGAAAAGTATGATAATCTAGCACAAAAGATTTACATAAAAGCAAGCCCCCCTAAGGCAGCACTCCCGCGGTATGCTGTTATGCCACTGTGTGTAAGTCGTTCGTTGCCAGGGTTCCTTAGAGCAACTTTCTTCTGTTCGATTTTTCGACAACACTAATTTCTTGTGCCGCTGAAGCTCGAAGCACCGCATTTCGTTAATATAACAGTTTGCTAAGGTCCTTATTATTTTAAATCGCAACGTAAATGACTACGCCCGCCTTACGCAATAAAAAAGAGCCCAGGACCTATTTTCAACAGTCAGCTTTTGTATTGATGCAATTGCTTTCTGCACTGTCATTCAGGTTAATCTTATCACCTTGAAAAACGAACGTGGTCGACTCCTGGTGGAGACCAATGTATAATGCTCAGCCCTAGACATGCATTGCAATGAAAAGAAAACAAAAAAGCACAAAATAGACTTCACAATACTTATTCTAGAAAATGATAGCTTCCTCCAGAGTGAGACAAATCTTAGGAAAAAAAATTTGCAATAAATAAACTTAATCCTTTATACCAGCAATTTGATTTAGTGCTCATATTGTTCCACATATTGGGCCTAAATCGTCGTTTCTAGCACGAGCTTGCCTATGTTAACTCCGCGAAGATGTTAAAAATGTTTTCGGTGCTTGACTCAGCTTCAGTTCAAACCTACCGTCATCGCACCGAAATCCGACCTAAATGCTTCATTCATCACAGCTGACTATGATGACATTTTGCACGGATCTTCATGTCACAATTCTCCAAAAACAACTTGTCGCAACGTGTGCATTCGATTAAGCCTTTGCTACTGTGAGCAGTGGACAGTTTCATGGATTTTTGACCTGTTAGTCCGCAAAAACTATCTCCCGCAAACCGAGCATCAAAACGATTTCTCTGCTTTGCAAATGAGCATGTATTACTTTGGAAATCTTTTTCCATGTTCTTTACAGTTAAAGCGTAACTTTATTATTGATTTTTTGCGTCTTCTCATATCACTTGGCTCACTTGGGTACAGCTTGCGACTTATGTTCATTTTTGCGTGAACACTTTTTTAAACTGGCATCGAGACAGAATGAGCTTTTGTTCAATTTTCGACCAAAGACGTTCTTTTGCTCGTGACCAGACAGTTACCTGGAATAGAGAACTGAAAAATAGACAATCTTCCAAGTACGCGACGACGTTAATTCTATTTTCTTACCAGTCGTTGAGTCAAGTACTTGTTGCTGGTTCTTTTTTTTAACTGAACTATAGTTATCGGGGACATTCGTAGTACCTATTCAAAAATATCAATTTACATCTACATTAATTAAGAAAAATTAAATTTATAGAGCACAATTTTTTTGGGTGTGCTGAAGGTTGTTCTTCGGCAAAGTAGGTCATTTGCAGGTATATTTGCTAAGAAATGTCTCAGCTTCTGTTTCATAAATACTTAAAGATGTCCTTTCCATTACTGGTCAAATCTTCAACTGATGCAACAAGATGCTTTATTGCAGGGACAAGTCGCTTAAAAATGATGTATTTATGTACCTATAACTTCAAGACAATTCGTAGCATTAATCATATTGGCTTGTTTCCTAGGAGCTAGGAAAATAGAGGGAAAACCTGATTCTTCAAATCGAGAATGGAACTGACGAAAAATTACTTAACAATGCCAAGAAAAAACGTCCCACGCCGAATGTATTACGTGCTACGGTTTCAAATAAGACGGCTAAACAAAATCATAGACGACGAATATTCGAAATTTTTTCTGTATTAGAAGAGCTTAGATGTCTGATGGCCGCTATTTAGTTTATTGGATTTTTTTATCCATAAAATCCGTATCAACCGTTCAGCAACTCTCCCAATAACTTAAATTACGTTACAGTTAACATCATCGTTAGCGAGCTAATTTCTCTGCCGGGCACGTTATGAACAGGCAAAGAAACTGTAAAAATGTTGCTGTGTTTTAAAGTTATCCTTGTTAAATCCTGCATTGATATCAGAAAGCTCTAAGCGAAGTGTATCAAGAGAAAAGTAAAGGTTTGCTTATTAAATACGTCTAAACAAGACGAATACGTCGTCATACCTAAATAAGTTATCGGTCAAAGTCAGGTAGACAAGCTTGCATATTTAATAAGAACGGGATAAACGTTGAAATGGCAGTGTGATCTGAATTCCTAATGTCTATAGAATATTTGTTTCGGATAATTCCGGGGATTAAAGGAGACGACTCCGAAGTAAAATAGAGAATTCGTATAACTATTTTTAGCGTAACTTAGCTCCCGTTTAGGTAGTGAAAGCTTTTGTTTTACCTAGAGCCTACGAGCAGAAATGTCCTCTCTTGCATAGCTGATCATCAAGTCTGCCTCTGCTACCAATCACGTTCATCATTTCACATCTATATCTTCGAGTATTCGATAAAGACAAACATTGGATATAAAGTATGATTACCCCAGTGATGCTGCAGCCAGTGGAGAGGGGACATCGACTCATTGAACAAGAACTGGGATTGTACCAAGGCTAATTGCCGAGTATGTTATGGAAAACTGCTTGCTATCCAAAGGGTGCTTTTCATAAAGAAGACGTGGAAACAGAAACGCCATATCATAACTATTATGTTACAAAGGAAACATCATACGACACTGGAGGATCACTATCCCATACGTCAATCACATACTTAAAAACAAGTGCTGAGTAAATTTGCTATTATCTGCCACATCTCTTTTTGAGAATTAACGGTAGGATAATTTGCGGTCATTTCTTGTGAGTTGAATTCGCAATTACAAGAATATCACAGTTTTTTTTAAACATGAATCTGAAAAAGATCTCGCCCGTTTGTTAGCTAAATAGAAAATGCATTATTTGTTATTCTTGCGATATTTCTAAGTTATGTATAGTACGTCATTGTTTACAACTTCACCTTTTGTAACCAAATTATGGATTCCGTCTGCTTAAAATGTCGCGGGTTTAATTTCAAAATTGACCACCCACATTGTGCTTCCTTTGATTCGTATCAAACACAAGGCCGCAAAGCTGACTATCCAGTGAACAGAAAATGTGGAAATTGGTCGGCGCATAGTCCGGAAAGTGTGGACAGTGTAGTAAAACTTCCTGTTCAAAACCCAGGCGCTTACGATGGTCTCGCATTGCCATAAGTGGACATTATTTTCTCTTGAATAACCTCACTGCCACCAGTGATGAATCAAACAACAACTGAACTAAACATGCCTACCAATTGTCAGCTTTCAGAAAATAATCCGCAAGAAATTGGACCTTAGCAATCGAACTAAGACCTATTCTACTTTAAGATTTGGATAGACCCTAGGCCTTGCCTTTTCTCCTAGAACCACCCGTTCAAAATTTCTGCAGCATGTTAACATGCATATACCATTTTCCATCGCGGGTCACAATTTACTGCAAACATGCAAAAAAGCGCAAAAGACTCAGCCGGCCGGCCAGAGCGAGAGGCATCCTCTTGATCCCACACACCATTCCCATACCTTGCAAACTACTCATCTTTGTCTTTACCGTACCAAGCAAATGTCCCCCAGGTTGTTTCAGCAGCATTTTGGCCTCGACAAAATGCATAGTACAGAACGCGTCTAAATTGCGCTTTGTTTTTTCACCCGGAACGTTCGTCCTTCAACTCGAAAGGAGTCCTCTCAGAGTCGAAAGTCTACAGTGCGCTCAACACGACATCAAATATACAAGAATTGATAGTAAAAAAGTAAAACAATTATATACAGTGAATCTATAACCCAATATTGTTCACGACACCTAAGAGCCAGTATAACATCAAAACTGAAAAATTACCGATGAAACACCGAAGCAGGATAACTATACCTCGCCACGAAAACACATCAGGAGTTGAGTTACAGAAAAAAAGCTTTCAGCAGACAAAGTTACGTATAGTGAATCCTACCATGCTAATACCCTACCGTGCACATAAGGCTATGTAAAATACATTGAGCATCTTCATGTTTTCATGTATCCACTGAATGTGAGGCGAAACCGAAATTGCGGCGGCGGTCCTAATTAAACTATCTTTCAGCTTGGTTGGGACGACGGCCTCATTAACCTTAGACAGATAGGACCATCTTTGATAACAGTCATCTATTTCGGATATCAACCCTTTGCGGCCTAATCCCGAGGCCTAAATATAGGAAGACGGGTACCCTACGCTACGGTGTCCGTCTGCAAAACAGCGTGACTAGCCCTGCATCTCTACTAGTAGTTGAGGAAAACGCGTTCTAACGTGTGAATGAGCAAGGCCTTTAGAGGATTCAGCGAGCCACTGAGAGACTGATGTTCTACGAGTTCATTACGACTTGTCTTTTTCAGCAATTGAACTCTTTAAAGCAATGCCTTCTAGCGATACTGAACATACGTTTTGAGAGTTGCTTTAATTAGCCTGAGTGGATATTATATAGATAGATCATATATGACACGTGATATAGACAGAGCATTCTATCCATATTTATTATGCCCGTTCTACAGACGTACGTTAATTGATAGGCTTACATGTCAGCATTATGTCCATTAGTGGAGTGTCATGGAAATCTGTTCAATCAATGAGCTGGCTGGAACGCGTATCCGTTCACGTATGCAGCTCCTCTCACCAATTTGTTCCTAATTCAAATGCCCTATGCTTGTTTCGTTAGACGATAAAAGCTGAACAAAGACAGAGGGAACATGCTAGTTTATTTACTCGTTCAGAAACGCTACTTACCTTTTAGCAATTGCAGGTGGACTGTGTCCAGATGCCTACATTACTACAATGCCTTATTATATAATAAGATAACCGTATCCTCATTGAAATAACCATCGCCAAACACAGCGTAATCAACACTGAAAGAAGATTGTTAATCGTTTGCAGCCATATCCATACTATCTCGATTGGAAGGAGGTTCGCTTCAGCGTGACAATATGGTATCGTTTCATTTTCGAAAAGTTCGTTACGGATCGAATAGACGAATATATAATAAAGCAAACTTATTCAGACAGCGCGTCACACGGTTAGATCGCATTGGGGACATACTGCAATTCTATACGGTTTCACCTAGGCTATATATAGGTAACCTATAAGGTCACCTAAACTACTTCGGTTAAATGACATCAATTATCGGTATAGATTAGCTCAGATCGAAGTGACGCTAATGATAGTAGCACTAAATAGTGCTAGTTCTCAAACATGCGAATTTAAGACACATACCATTTAAAGCTTCGTTAGTGTTATTTAATAATAAGTATTTTGGAATTTACAATCTATGTTGTGAAGATGTCAAGGCGTCTGCTTGTGTGTGTATCTGTAGGTAAAAAAGAAACCATGTTGACCTTGTCCAGCTTGCTACGCCGAAACAAGTACGTACCTTTTCCATTTTGTGTATATGTGAACTGAATATAGAATCCAATAGAGACTGATATCAACGAGCGTACCCCACCTTGCAACTCGCTTCTGTCTTCCGACCATTCGAGTGAGTGAATGATGGTTCGGACCGAATCGCGAAGGAATTTGGCTCTCAGATGTCTCGGAGATCCCAAGCGTCAAATAACAATTTATGCTGTCCTTCTTCATCTCGACAGGCGCTAAGTAGGCTAATCGTAGCCGGGACGTCGTGGCGATTCGTAATGATGAACAATGCGCTTTTAGGTCGACGCACCAGATGATGTCTACCCGTGTCGTGATGCGAAAACTGAGTTAAAATCCATCGATCTCTGTGCAATACTGTAGAAGTCGCATACCTGGAAGTCCATCCAGGGAGCCAGCTTAGCGCTGGTTAATTATGATAGAACCACATTCTACGGATATCCACGTCGCTAAACAGAACTGCTGCTACTGTCCACCGTGAGAATTGTATCCGTGGCGCACAATTCAGCCTTAGCTCGCCGTGATCGCCTCGAAATATTTGGTAAGACCAACTCTCGTATATCTTCTTTCGAATCGAGGGGACCACTGTGCCCACCTTGAAGCTGTTGTTGTTGTTTAAGTTTTATTTCAACAGGCGTAAGAGCTGACCAGTTAAAACCGGCTAAGAACTTGTGCTGACGAAGCGGTTCTAGTGAATCGCTAACGGTTCCGTCCGGATAGGAGAAACGCCATACGCCTAGGCGATCCGCGGGGTTGTCCTGAAGGACATCGATGAGAAATGCCCGTTGTTCCGCCGTCAGTTGACGGCTTATGTGAATTGTGACAGTCTTCGCCAGTTCATACCTGTACGCGCCGAAAGTTACGAACACAAGAATACCGGAAACTTGTAAGTTGAATTTTGTCTAAGTGAACCAGAGGTGCCAACGCTTACCCGGATTCAATAGGTGTTCTCTTAGCAACATGAATGTGAGTCTCACATTTAATGGGGGATTACGTGGGAGTACGGATGCAAATGCTCCGAATGATGCATAAGTGCGTTAGGTCAACACCCATTAAAAAATAAGTAGCAAAAAAAAAGATCAGCGTCGTGCCTATGGTTCTTAGTCAACAGGCATGCAATAAGCATACACATGCGCCATTCAGGTAATCATAATTCAACCCACGTCTCGACACCTGTGACAATGAGTTCTTTTTCTTTCAGTGTCATCATTTCATGGACAAAGCTCCTCACGAAGTATAGAACCGATTAAATACCTCATCCCTCGAGACAGTGAGCTGAGCTCAATGTGTTCCTTTCTCGCGAATACCGACAGTGGGGTTCTCCCAACGAACATACAGTAAACAACAATTCCATATGACCACCAGTCCGCATCCGAACTGTAAGTCGTTCGCTCCAAAACCTCTGGTGACATGTACGCCAGCGATCCGCAGCGATTGGATGAAGAATGGCCTTTCATACTCAGGCCGAAATCGGTCAACTTTGCGTCAAGCAGGGTAGGATGATCAGAAGCCTTTACAAGTAGGACATTCGAACAGCTAATGTCACGATGCAGGAAACCCATTTGGTGGACGCAGTAGATTGCGTGGGCAAGCTGACCAGCCAATCGACGAGATTGATCGATTTCAAGCGGACCTCCAACTAGTAACAAGAGGCAGATACAAATTATGTAGAAACAGAGCTTGCTTAAATGTAAGTAGTGGCTGAATACTTTTACCAGAACGAGTTCATTTTACAATTGAAAAATATCTTTATTTTATTATTTTTTATTGTTATTGTTAGGTCATCGTTTCCCTACTATCTCAGCTAGAACAAACAAAAACTAGTTATTGTATAGTATAGAAACAGAAACAATTCTATGTATAAACGACGACAGACTAGATTGAAGAATGATAGTTCAGGCTTAGTTCTATTCGTGTCAGGGATAAATATAATCCGGTATGTTAAATGGATTGGTAAGTTACAGTGCTCTGTGGAAGTTACACTTTGGCTACGGTACCGGTGTCCTTCAGGTAGCGACTGAGACTTCCAAGTGGCGCAAATTCCATAACGAAACACCAATTTTTATCAGTCTGTAGAAACGCAATCAAGCTGATAACGTTCGGATGCTCGGACACTGCACGCCATACGCTAAACTCGCATTTAACTTTGTCAAGTTCTTTAAGTTGGTCTTGTGATTGCGCGGATTTCTGAACACACTTCAACGCTGCCACATCCTTCTACAATAGAATGATATTAAATTGAACGGACATTAAGAGCCGTGCATTGAGTTCAAGAAAGAAGGAATAGCCTAGCAAACATGCCTGTGTAGTATCTACGTACGATGCCACCCAGGATCACCGGCAACTCCCGACACAGTTATCATTTCGCTGAAAACCACCTGGAATGGGCTAGATTAGCATATAGTGGGCCATCCCTAAAATAAACGGTTAGTGTACAGAACCAACTAGGTCTTATTAGTTACAATTTGTTAGAACGGAGATAGTAAACCTGAAGTGCTTCACAAAGTATTGATTCATTAATAAAACCTGAGGAACTAGAGAAAAAGTTCCTCATCGGTTACCGATCCAGTAAATATTTGTTGTAGTAAATATATTGTTGTAAACTCCTTGGTGTTAAACAGTGGTGATAAAGACCACCTCGGTTCGCTCAGACTTTCGTAGTCCTAGTAAACTGCCAATGATACTTACTCCTACGGTGATTTTGAACACTGTGCCAAACGAGCCCTGGCCAATGGCTTCGCGAACCTGGATCGCGTTGCAGACTTTAAAAACGCACGCTTTTTTGCAGAGGGGATTCGCCCAAAATGAGTCTGGTACAAGGGTGCCCACTTTCGGGATCCGAATAGGCCCTTCATGCGGTACCGCCTCTGGGGATAGAAGTTCTTCTGTTGGGACTATTTTCGTCTGATTAGCCCTAGCAGCTTTCTCAATGTGGCGTTCTATTGAAAACAATCACAGCCGACAGGGAAAATTTGATTTGCCGAGGTTCTAACAGTACGCGGTCTGTTATGTCCTACGAAGCAAATTTGGGTATTTGAGGTCCTAGATCTATGCTGTATGAGTTCAGTTTCCATCGTCGTTCGGTTACCCATCGCTGGAGTAAGAACAATTCTATCTTTGTCGGCTATGAACTACAAATGTCGGATTTTTGACCTGCTTATTAAGACATTTGTCTTAGACGTTGCGCTGAAAATGAAGATCATATCAAGGAAAACCTATTTTCTTTAATGGCCACTTACAAAAATTTGCATTACTCGGTTTTTTGATACTTACTGATTTTAGCTTAACCTCAATTGTGTATACATGAAATAAAAAATGCACCTAACTACTCAGGCGATTGTCCTATTGCATGCGTTTCGTACACGTATTTAGGTTCCGGTAAAAGATTCTCAATCTTTTACCGGAACCTAAATTTAGAAAAGCTGGCTCAACTTTCCTATTTCTCAACTATTCAAACCAACAATACACATATTAACAAAAATAAGTGCCCCGGCATAAATATAAACATCTACCAGGCTCCTTAAGCTGAAAAGTTCTTCAAAAAAAAAGCTTCGTGTTACCATTTACCAGTATCGTGCGGTAAAATGGCACCGAACCTGCTTGAATGTTTACACTACAAGCAAATCTTTTATCTATTTCTAATAGCAGCATCGAATTGGAGGCTTGTCGAATTTCATTGAATTAAATTATCGTTGCAAGGTCGCTACGGCTTTGGCAATATTCTGCTCAATCTCTGCTGTGGTCTTTTCCTTTCGATGCTTAAAACATCATACGTCCTATTTGCTTAATTACCTTCCATTAGTACGAAGTCAACGCGCGAAACTAGGTATAGATTCATTTGTCCTATGAGCATATATTTCAGTACATGCACATAAGACAAATGAACTAGTATATATATATATACCTGTGTATCTAATTCGCCCTTTAACATGGAACTCGGTGCCGTTTCAAACTATAGTTAAAGTGTACGTTCGGTAGTAGATTTGTTATTGTTGCACTCACTTGAGCTGGTGCGCTTCGAACGGTTTTGTCGTTCCGACTCGTGTTTTCTACGTTGTTTCACTATATGATCACCCTCACAGCTTGGAAAAACACTCTTGCGAATTTTCCTAGTGTGGGCTGGAAGTCTTAGCTCGATATCGGTAGGCTCAATGGCTACCATTACACCTATCGCTTCTGAACGTCAATTATCGCGGCCAATCGGTGTTGTTTCTTTTCCGCGCGGATGTCGTCTGCCCTGCGGTTAAGCATACGCCGAAAAACCAATTTAGATATTTGACTCAAGTGATCACCACGTCAGACTTTCAAGATGATTTAACCTCTCTCTATTCACTCCGTTATCGTCGTAGTCTAGAAAGTGAAATGATTTCACATCGTTGTAAATAGCTCGCTTATAACTGAATTATCTACTAGCCTCGCATGTCTATTTGCAAGCCATCGTAAAATGTAGAGCGCGACACGAAAAGAGTTCCTTCGAGGGTGATTGATTACCTCAGGGGATTTCCCTAAGCTGTCTTGCGCGCGAGACCGAAGGACGGGCATTTCCCTTTAGATTGATGTGTGGCTACACATCACTCGTCTGGAGCGCTTTTAGTTTAATGCAGAGAATCAAAAATTAAGCGCCCCCCAAACGTGCTCATGAATTCCTGCCGGATTAGGTTTGAGGTCACCTAGACAGAACAGCCAATGGGACACTCGTGAGACCCTGGATTCTTCCTGGCACTAATCAGTTGGCTCTACATATGGATTGATTCGGGATACCAACCAGTCAAAGAAAATGATCCGTCTTTGACTGCGTGCTAATAGACTTCAAAGCTGAAGAGGTAACTTAGGTTGAAAACAAGTGCTTTTCCAATGAAAAGCCCTTCTACGGCTAAACAACTGAGCCTTTCCTATTCCGGCACTGGCTGCGCAAGGAGTCAATTGCACCTCGATTGAAATCACAACGGCTCGTAGATTTTAGACTAGTCGAATAAACAGCATAAGCGTTCATAAAATTCACTGTCATAGCACAACTACAGTGGAAAACGAGGCTGAACACGAGTGTGAGGATTCGCCAGCGCTAGAAATCGTAACGGAAACACAAACTCTATCGACGGAATAGATCTGTGTAAAGCCAACATTTTGATTTCCATCTGCCGTCAGATTGCACAGCCGAAGGCAGTTATATTCAATTGCTTTTATCTACGGAAATAGTAAATATTCGGCAATACTTTATGAGACAACCTGTCACCTTCCAAGAGCATTGAGTCTTCTTCCGTATTTCCTCTTATACTAAATAATTTAAATTATAATAGGAACTAGCAAGCAGTACCCCTAAAATCTACGGCGTTTTATTCTTACGGTCTGGTATAGAACGATCGTCACGCGGCACCCAGAGTGTGTAGCTGTCGTTGCTCCTTTTTGATATTTCCTATTCTACGTCTGCAGCAACCGTGTACGAGGGTCCGCGACCTTTCTTTCGCTTGAGGCCCTCCACTACGTCTACAGAGACGGCCGCTCATGAAAAAAGCCGACACCAAATAGCATTTGGTTCATTTCACTTGAAACGTCGTTACACAATGCAAAAGAAAATCAAGCAGTAGTAGTAGCACACTGGTCACAAATGGAACTAAACCAAGCATATTTGCCCATCGGACTTTGAGCAACGTTAACGGGAAGCATTGCAAGTACATACATACATATATATATCAACTAAGGGATATTACCAAAGACTTAGACTAGTACTGATCACGACCGTGCTAAATACCTAGATGAAGCGAGCAAAAAAAATATAGCGGGAGAGAATCATTTTAACTAAGGTGAGTTAGTTGGGGTACTGCCAGACGAAGTACAGTTATCGGCGCTGCTGATTCACGCAGCATTCTGCATGGATATTGGGAATGTAAAAGTGTTGAACTTGAACGCTTAAGAAAAAAAATCGTGCCTCCTTCGACTTTTTGTGCCGCGCCATTGTTTGTGCCATTGTGGGCGTAGCGCGCATCAAGGAAAATCGCGTTTCCGCCAAATTACCCAGCTAATACGGTAAGCACTGACTACACATTTGTCATTGCAAATTTGCTCATAGAAGACGATGATGTAGACGATGACGTCCTCAGCGATGGTGCAGTAGCAAGGCGTTCGCACCTATTAAACTTAACGAAGCCTATTGAGGGATGGTCTAATTTCGGAGAGTAGGCACACGGTTTGTTCCGTGCTAAAAAAAAAACCTATCACTCATCTGAAGGACTACTTAACTAAACTCAAAATAAGAGCAAAAAAAGAATAGGGTAAAATACATTTAGCGGTAGCGTGTATCGAAATACCAATCAGATCAATGGGCTTTTGTGACCGATATACTTGTCGATCTATATGTGGTGTGTGCAGAATATCGTACAAGATATCGTAATAGCTGCGTCGCAGTTTCCTTGCTGATATAACTTTGAAGTAGAGAAGTTTATTGGCTTTTAAATTAGCTCAAATCGTCCCAGTGCATATCTCAAGACGGACTCACATCAACAATGCGTGTATCGCTATACCTAACTATTTTAAATAGCTGTGAATCAGTATTCTAATTATGTTAACAAGAATAAATTCGAAATGAGATGGGATCCGCTACATAATTACGTGACCGATTTGGGGACGAATTTGTCTGGTGTCATCCACACCTTATATCGTGGCAGAAATCACCTCTTCGAAGGGTTCGACGTGAAAGCAACGATTCAGCCATAAATCACGACTGGCATAAACTAGTAAATTCTCAATCTCTTTTTTATCTCTTTAATGTACATTTTGATTTGAAGAGATCCTCTAACAAATTCGGTCCGACTGGCGTAAGTGTTATATAAACGCGCGACGTTGTCCCAAAGTCAAGATAAAAGCTTACTAGTTAAGCTTTGAACGTTTTGATAAAACGTCAGTTCTGTTTTTTCTATGCTGTAAAGCCAAAATACTATTACCGTTATATTAATAGAATTAGCTACTATTTGCATATTAGGAAAGGCAGGTCTCTGACAGACAAAAGTTGGTTGAAATAATAAATGCAAAAGCTGCTGGCAATTGATTATCGTTCTTCTCTCCTTCCCCCCTCCCTCCTTCATTTGTTATTCCAAAAAATGGGTAAAATATTAAAAAAAGGCAAATAATTTATGCCATATTTACCTAGGCAAAATGCTAAAAATAAATGGTCGATACGTTTTGTCCACTGTGATTCTGTCCGTCTGGGGGCCCCGAAAATCTTCAAACTTAGGGCTTTGCTGGCCCTCCAGTGCGTATTCATGTACACAACATGTGTATTAATAAGGTAATGTAGTATCTAATATACATAACTCGAATCGACACCTGATTCTCCAAAAAATTAGCCATTGCTATAAAGTTCAAGTTTATTTCAGGCAGATGTAAATTCCATTCATTTATTTATAGCACAATGGAAAATCCACCGATCATGTGGTACAACAACTAAACAATGAGAGCGACCTAGGTTCTTAGTGATGCGGAAGGTCGTAACTATCTTAATATGGTCACCCGGGTTCATTGCTATAATTTTCAATGTATTTAGCTACAATGATTTTTGAGGGATGAAAACCTTGCTTTCACAACGGACCATTGTTAGTACAACAAACAACGTACGACATTGTAACGCCCCATGGGACGGTCCTGAAACTAGATTGTGCTATTATTCCCAGCCGTTCCATAGCGCTTTTGCCCCCAACATTCAGACAATAAAAACGAACTTAGTGAAAACCAATAGATCATCAACAATATTACGTTCGATACATAATAATATCGATTACCAATCTATTTACATGATCCATATTATCTTGCCAATCGATAAAAGCGCTTAAATCAATGAAAAACAGATTTGATAAACATAGATAGATGGTGTTTTTACTACCTAGAATCACAGGCCAGGCCTGCGAAATAGGTATAATACTACATTAGACGACTGTACAGGAAAAAAAATAAGCATTTTAGGCAAAAGCTGTATATTACCTAGAATGTATGTTTATGTAATAGCTGGTCTTATTTTCAGGTTGTCCCGGACAGAGTCGCTTCTGGACATTTTTATCGTTGTAGAGGTGAAGTGTAAGTGAAACACTGGAGTAATTCAATCGCTTTCAAGAAAAAGGACTTCATCCGTTTTAGATCTAACGGGCGGCAAGTCTTGCACTATAAAACATTATGGCCCGTCTAATCCTGGATTCTGACGAGGAGTTCTCCGTTCCGCTGTCATTTGCCGAACTTCTTGCTAACCATCATCCCCTTTCTATCAAACTGCTCCAATCTCTTCCTCGAGCTGTCGTAAGCACAATACGAAGTCTTCTAACAAAGTGTTTACGCACTCACGTTCGCTAACAGGGAAAGCAGTGAATTTATTTGAAGGGTACATACACACATAATGGAGTAAAAACACTTTGCAATATAAACGAATGTTGGTACTATAAAGCTTTACGACTCTTGTAGTAAGTTAGCATAGGAACCAACTAAGCACTTTCTACAATCCTTTCACTTCATTTTGATTCGACATACAGTCTGTTGTATATAGAGCATATAATTAGTCATATACATTTTAACATGATTTAAGACAGGTGACTCAAGGCTTAGGTAGCTTTCATTCATCCTTGCTACCTTTGGCTGTAGTAGTAATGATAATAATAACTGTCATTATTCAAGCAACTTCTTGTATATTTCTGTGTGTAATTATCAATAGTTATCTTCACATATGGTTTGGGAAAAAAAAGTAACGTACTCATAGAGACATAAGGCGCAGAAGGAAGGTATTTTTTCAGCAGCTGCGGCCTCTGGTTTTTGTTCACATATGGACACCGCTTAATATTGCCAGTGACGCATACCGGATGAGACGTGAAGATGCATAGTAATTCCCTGTTGGACTCATCCAAGTTCATTGGGTACAGAAATTTCAAGTTCTTGCACAAACCCATGACTCGAAGAGCCACCACACTCGAAGAGGTTAACGGCAGTCATGGGGCTGCAGCCGATATTTTAGACTATTTCCCGAGTTATTTGTGGGCAGTCTTCTATCCAAGGAGCTTTTAGATGGTCGTCATCAAAGTCAGACGGCCGGCCAAAACGAGGAGCATACTCTAGGTCCCGGATACCGTCTTCAAACCTAGCAGACACCCCTAAGAGATGACGCCGTCACCGCGCCTACGGCAAATGTCTCGGGCTGTTTGGGCAACCATCTAGCCTCGACGAAATGCATACTACAGAACGTATCGAAAAGTGCAAATGAATTTTTAGAACGTGAGAACTTTCCTTCCAACTTAATATAATGTGTAGTACAATTGCCTTCGCTATGGAATCCATTAAATAAATAAATTATAAATCCATAAAATTAGACCTTGTGGCTTATGTAGCCTTTAGCATTGAATTATGCTTGCTCGAGTACATGAAGTGAAGGGGCTATCGACTGTTATGTCTTTATCAATGCAGAGCGTATGGCGCTACACGCGGAAACTATTTGCCTTAACAATTCCTACTCTATTTTAGCTGGAAAAATGTCGAACGTCTGCGGAGTACGAGAAACTAAGTAAACTCGGTAACGGAAGCTTCGGAGCGGTTTGTGAGTAGTAAATTTCGAATATTTTCTCAGAGCTGCTAACTAGAATATGATAAAAACTGGATTTCTTGAAAGGTATCTATATACTTACATTGACTTTGTATTTGGGCTCAGAAATCGGAAAGATGAATTATTTAAACGGATTTGTGGTGCTAAAGTACTCTTTTGATTTAGCAAGTGATTCAGTCTGCAATTTGCTTCCATGATGTAAAGGGCGTTACGCTAATTGGTAGCACCGACTATACTAAGCATACTAAATAATATAGGTATTATGGTGATCATGTTAGACATTGGGTTATTTTCGATATTCAAGAACATCTGTGCTCTGAGGCTTCAGATATACCAAGTCTTTCCAGCTTGCCGTATTACAGGTGCCGTACTTCCATCGTTGGTCAGGTTTTAAGTAGCAACCAGATCGTCATACCAAAATATCAAATAATTCGTTTATCGTGGCAACGAATTTAGCATTTTTCATCTATTATTTAGTTGTTCAAGAAAAGTTTACCTTGATCCTAGAAAATATATGCCAGCCATAAATCTGTTTGGTAGCCTATGTACTCGCATATCTAGATTATGCCTAACCTATTACTCGCTCTGTAACCAACGTTTCGGTGCGGGTTCTTTTTAGTCAACTGATGTTCACTGTTCACGTTTTGTTTTCTCTGTTTCGTGTTTTACGTCCGGCGCCATAGTCTTTGGGCATTCCTTCAGACAGACGACTCCCAGCGCAAAGTGAAATATGTCTATGCTCGGTTTCGAAATTAAACCGCGACGTATCTCTAACATAGCAGACAAGTACGTCACCCACTAAGCTATGACAGGGATTTATCGTTTTATCCTATCATCCTGCGTATCATCTCTTTAGGGTAAAATTTCCACGCCAGACCAGCTACTTAATTATTGGTTTTCGTTTTCATGTATTTTGTGCTTCGAAAACGCTTCGTTTTGTGCTAGGAGGCGCCACCTGTTTAAAGCAATGCTTACCTATTGTAACCGCGTTGAACTTACCACTCGAGACACTTATTTGCTGAACTATTTTTTACATTTTCATCGAATCATGCGAAGTTGTACCTTTAAATCAGGTAAAAGATTGGGCATTAGAAACAAGGAAACACAAGTTGGACGTATTTTACCAATAAACGCACAGACGCTTGCTGTGTCTTCAACACAGGGATCGTCGTATATGGTCATTATACCGAATGATGCGGCAGGAAACGTTAAACCACTGCGTAGTTCACATTTCGAATTGGTGTTGTGTAGCATAAATAAATGGCTACGCTTCTATCGCTGCATGACTGAGGATAACAGTGAGGGTGCGTTTTATAGGCGGGCGAACAGTTGGTCTCTGATACTATTTGGGTAAGGCTTTTTTCTTCACGCGGGATGTTTGCACGCAATGGCTGAGTGTCGCCTAGTGGTAAACCCATTTGAGAAAATGACGTTTTCTCTGCAACAAAGGTTCTATGATAAAATCGAATGCAATGAAACGAGTTAGCTAGATCAAGGGGACCTTTGGTAAAAAGCAATCTGACATGCAGTGGGCTATTTGTTACACAAGATCATTCCTACTTTGATCGATATAATAGCGATATTATAATACAATTATTAGAGATTCGTGCCCGGTTACGTTTCATGGCATTTGCCGTAGAAGATCTGTATACTGCTCCCACTGCCGAATACGTACAGCATGATAAGAAAAAAGTACTGATTAATTTAACTCAGTTCAGAATATACTAAAAAGCTATTATTTTTACGGCATCATACGGTGCTGTCCGTAAATGGACCATGCAAAACTCTCATCGAATTTTTAAATTTATTATATATTTGTGTTAGGCATGTGGCGTCGTTTTACTGTAATTGTACGATTTGTTTGGACAACTAGTAACATAAATAAATATTCACTGCCACTCGAGAAACAGATACAGCGGTTTTTATTAAGCGTTATACCTGCTCCTGGCCATGGAATTTCACATTCGTAACGTGACGCATCTTTGCAGATCGAGTGCGCGATAAGGAAACCGGCGATGTGATCGCTATGAAACGTATCTGCTATTCGCACGATATAACTGGTGCAGTAATTAGAGGTTTTTCTCGCATGACGTTAGTTTCCATTAGTAGCTAATCATTGTTACGTAGATACAATATTATATATATAAATAAAGTGTATATTGGATATCTAAAAAAAATCCTTATGATATTTGACCTAACACAGCCTTCTTGGTTTGTCGTAGAAGACACTCTCATTTCTGGAGTTCGAGAGATTCTTGGTTTGGCTAGATTGCATCATCCAAATATTCTTCATCTACGAAACCTCGTTCTCAGTTCGAGCTCTATATTCGTTTCCTTTGAAGAGTGTTTGACAGATCTTGGCCAGATGGTTGATAATCTTCAGACGCCTCTCAGCGAACCGCAGGTAATAAAACCTGAATTCGTTTATAACTGTATGCTCTGAACAACAAGTTTAAGTTTCGAATGCTGACAATTTGTTTTTATTTATACTCTTTATAAATACAAGAATATTTGCACATCTCTCGAAATAGGCTTTTTTTGGGCGATTGCTTCTGCGCTGAAGAAGCGTAAATTCGCTGAAAAGTCATAATTTCGTTCAAAAATTATATCTGACACTCTGGTAGACATAGCGCGAGATTCCTATTTATCATGGGCTTAGGCACTTCCAGCAGTAAAAAAAAGACTCAGGGTTTTTTTTTGGCCTTATGGCGAAAACAGGGAACGCAAGAACGAGATACTGGTAGTCCTATCATAGTGTAATGCTGCTAGACATTTCTTTTATCTCGCTGTAACTCCGTTCTATAGAACTGGTGGAACGACAAGGTCGTAAAATTGCGCAGCTGTTGATCTATACTATAATTGTATGTCGTAATTAATTCAGAGGAAAAAGGGTAAACCACGATCGTTTTATAATGAGTCAAAATAAAAGCCTAATAAAAACATGTTCGCAGGAAACATATTCCTTCATTAGCAGTTCCTTTAAAATGAACTATTTCCAGGTGAAATGCATCATGTGGCAGCTTTTTAGAGGTCTAGAAAGCCTTCACGCATTGGGAATCGTGCACCGCGATCTCAAAGCGTCTAATGTCCTCGTATCCCATACAGGTTGGCCTATAGATCTTTATTAGAAAGGAACAGAATACTTAGATGGGTCGATTTATTCTTTGTTCATTTGTTTAGTTTAACGAATTGAGGTTATTCCAATCTTGCTATGGGTGTTTGCCTCTTATCAGGTGAAGTCAAAATCGCGGACTTTGGATTATCGAAGGATTGCCTTAGAGACAAATGTTGGACCCCTAACGATGTTGTCACACTGTGGTACCGTCCGCCGGAAATCTTGTTCCAGGTCCCACAACATACTACTGCTGTTGATATGTGGTATGCTGTTATATTGCAATTAACTCATATTCAATTAAGCTGTGTATTTTTACTTACTCCTAGGCTACCTTCATGACTATTATAAATAGGAAGATTCTCTATTTGATTTATGAGTAAGTGCAACTTTTGTATTATATAGATGGAAGCAACCTTAGAAAGCCTCCAAACTTCTGGGTCAAAGTTTTGACAATCTGACCGCTTTTCGCCAGCCTCTTACAATCGACTGATGATACGTCATAGGACCTTCAACTATTATAGAACGTTGAACGATAGTTTGTCACGTGCTGAGCTACGCGGTCATTGAACAACTAGTGTCAATACATTGTTGCGTAGATCATAAAACGCGAGCTTCAAGGTAAATCTTTCTCTTTTTCGTTGTCGCACAAGTATATAGTGGAAACAAAAGATGATTTTCATCTAATCTATACAAACACTTTTATTTTTAGGCTCCATTTCTCCGAAGCCAGAATCAGTTAGTAAAGATATTTTCTCTCATATTAAACGTTTGCGGCGACGATCTCTTGTTTTACGCCTTATAGCTGTGGACCCTAAACGCCCGTTTGGCGATATCATACGAAGGCGTGCTCGTGCTTATTCATCGTTTCTATTTTCATTCGAATTTTGCTTGCGGCAGGCGCAAGGTGTCGCCTGTGTGCTGTGAAGTATCATGTGGTCATCGGGTATCTAATGAGCACAAAATTTTTGTTTGCCTAATATCGCATATCTTTTGCGCTGACGCGCGTTACGCAAACTAGAACGTAGTTGTGTTTCAATGAGCCCCCGGCGCCTGAGGGTAAAGGTCACCCCTAAACGGAAAAGAATAACGCTCTTCGAGTGTCGTTGTGCTCAAAGATTGATTCATGGCGGGATCAACCGTGCTATTCGTATCGATTAACTAATTACCAAGTCTAATCACTGTCTCTCCAAACGAAGATCTGGGGGTAACCGGGCTTGTTTGCCTTTATCATTGCCATTATCGACTCGTTTGAAAAAGTGTGAAGGGTCAAAGTGTGTTGAAAAATATTGTTGTGAAAAATATCTGAAGTGTCTGTATCTTCTGGGATAAATTATATCCGTTTTCTAAAGTTTCCGTTAAATTGGTAGAAAACATTGGCTAGTATACTAGTCCACCGAAATACGATCTTCCAAACCAAAAGTGAAACAAGAGAACGAAATCAGGCGGCAATAGGCAACTAATACTAGGGCCTGCCGTCCCTGTGACCTTCGCCTAGGTCTAGAACGTTTCGAAAGGTATTTTCATCAAAACCGTTGTTATACGCTTACGTTTTATAAAAATTGTTACAATGAATTGTATTCTAGTAGCACGCTTAAGCAGAGTAAAAAAATGAACCACTGCAACAGTAGAGATTTCTTTTTAGTGACGCGCTTCTATTGAATGGTGTATATAAACAACAGGTCAGCCGGTTGCATTATGGGCGAACTCCTGCAGAAGCGGCCCCTTCTACCTGGAAAAACGGAGCTCCAGCAGATCGAGCTTATTACCCAGCTTATTGGGTCGCCTGACGAAAATGTGTGGCCAGTACGTTATAATTTTAGTAACTATAATAACACTATGATGTCCAGTTGATACGAGTCTAACGAAATAGGCACAGTTGAAAATATCTTTTTAAACGATCAATCAGAGGACGCTCAGTAGCAACGACGCCGGAGGGTGACATTACGGTCGTTCCATTTTTAAGTATAATTAGCCGACTCAAATAGCCAATGGCCATGCCAGTTTAGCCCTACCTTCAAATCTCCATAAACAGTGGAGATACTTAGGTACTGAAATAAAAGTCCGCAATTCAGCATCTACTAAAAACAGAACGAACGTTGCTTTCCCAGGGTGTCACCAGTATTTTTACTGCGTCGGGAGTGCAATTGCGGCTCAAGAGCGGACGTAAGCCGTCTCTAAATAATTTACGCCGTAACTTCGCTTGGCTTTCCGCAGCTGGAATAAGACTGCTTACATCTTTATTATGCTACGCACCGGAAAACAGGTTATTCATGTAGAATTGCTAGGTTACGTCATCAGCAACTGATGTCCATTGAATCAAAATACCAACTGACTTAGCTGAAATGGAAATTTCAAACCTATCCGGACCTAGGTTAGCGCGCTACTAATTCTAGCCGATGGCACACACTTTTAGGATTCAATCAAGTGTTTCGTCCTGTTTGACATGGGCTAATAGGCTGGACTCTAGGCTGCAATTAGCACGGAAGACACGTTTGTTTCGATGCGTACATTTCGATATAATCTCATACGTTCGACGAACGTTTCAATAAATTTTGTCCTTTTTCGTATCCACATGTGCTGATAGAATTCTTCCAATAGATCCTAATTTTCGCCACTAGCAGCATATATAGGTGTTAAAGCATTTAACCCCATGGGTCTTTACAGAGCATTTGCCGCAGACTGTTTTCGAAGTGCGTGGTTTAAAGAAGAGCCATTTGGTGAGTGCACGACAACAGGCGTTTGTCAAGCTAGGTCCACTTTACGTAGAAAAACATGAACGGAGTACCGTCTTTCCCTCTGCTGGATTAGTTTCAATATACGGCGCTATTTTTCTATGCTGTATCGTATCGTGGCGATAGGTCTGCGCAGAGATTTTATAAAAAAAAATTCTGGGTCTCCTTTTACGTATCAATGAATCCAATGAGCAATTTTGTAACGTCTATTCTTTCGCCCACGCACAGCATGTGAACCGAGCCAGCTTCCATTGGGCCGACGACATCTTGAAAGGAAGAGTCTGCTTCAAACTAGTTCCGATTAGGGGTCACATTCGCAAACATCACCGTCTGTAAAACGACCAAAATGCAATTTTTAGCGACATTGGACTCTGCTCGACAAATGAATAGCATCGGCTGCTCGGAAATAATGGCTGTGGCTAAATGGGCATACGGCCCAAATCTGTAAATATCAAGACTAGCTGTTACCGTTTGATGAGGTCACTAGCCAAGTAAATCCTTTTCAAAGGTGAGCTCAACACCATCAAGACCAGTCGTTTCTAGATAACATCGAGCGCTACTCTTCTACTGCTAAGCCTTCAGGAACCCATTGAAGATCATTAGGGTATCAATGCGTGGAAGAACTCTATCCTGCTTTAGCCGACGCTGACGAAAAATTTTCTGCTTTTTTAAATAGTTTTCACGAGCGAATTTACTTTATCATGTCTACATACCCCTAATCGATCCGATCGCATGTTGTTGTTGGAGCAAGCTCTCTTGGAACTGTGAAGCAGTACGCGTAGCCTGCTTGTGTATCCTGGGAACAAGAACTTTGTTTAAAAAGATAAAACCTTTGTGACTGTATCAGACTTCGCTACGAGAGCACCCGAACATCTAGAGAATTCCAACAAACGTTGCTTACCTATAATATGTCATCGGAAGAAAAAGATATTATGTGATTTCACGAATGAGCAAGTGTAAGACACGTTTGTAAGGAAATCAATATGAAACATTTTACCTAGGATCAGTAACTAACATGTCTGTGTAGAGCGATCTATTTTTTCGGAAAGTAAAAAACAAAATTATCTACCGTTTCTGAAAATCAGCTTGTATTGTATGTCACCTCTTTTCCTATTCCCGATCTATCTAACCCATTTCAAACAATCGAGTTAACCAGAAAATGTTTGCAGTTAAGTAATGTATTTTTGTCTATCATCGTCTCATAACAATACGATCTCAAGCAACACTTCTTCAAAGACCAATGACGCGTTAAGGAACGTACTACCCGCTTTGTTCAATATACATGACTAGCATGGTCCAATGAGATACTTCTTGCATGTTTAGAAAAATTACCTTTAGGGCCAATAGTGAAAAATTGGACAAGGGCTACTAGGTTACTGAAGTGAAGATATTCTTAAAAGTGAATTGTATTGTGTAGACAGGAAAAATAAGATTCCCTATTTACTGGATACCCGGATTACACTTGACGATGAAGCTGGCGTGTGTAGAATCGTTGATGGGGTGTCAAGCGATAAAGGATCGCAAGTGTCTCTCTATCGATTTACTTATATTCTAGACGTTGCTGTGCTTGTAGCAGAAACTTACTTCTACAATGTTCGATACGGTAACGGGACAGTCATTCGATCTCCCTATTCGCAGTGCGCTTATGTTATCAGTAGACCGCGTTAGTGCATGTACCTTATAGAGAAATAAAACTGCGTGAAAATAACGATCGTGCACGTTCTGCTTTCTCGTTAGATGTCCTGCGTCCAAGCGTAACTAGGCGAGACCTAAACATTTTCGAAGATCGCTTTGCTATTCGATACCGTTATATATGTATATTACTGCTCTGAATTTGATCTGGTCGAGCCATAGCAAGTTAACAGAATAGCCACGGTGGTCGGAACTGCAAAAAACCTATAAGAAAATTTGCGTAATCTCATCTGTTATTAAGAAGGCAACCTGCGTATGTCATTGGTATGAACGTTGCTGTCGAAGAGCACTACGTTCCTGCCATATACAGTACTAACTCGCTTGTTGGCGCCAAGCTTCGATTCGAATTTATTCCGTCCGCCATACTTCTCTCGAGATCGCATTGTCGATTTCGGAAGAAGTTCAGCGTTCGACGCGTTCTTGCGGCCAGACGTGCGGGATACGTCTTAGAGGGAAGCGTAAGATCGCGATGATACTCGATTGTGACTGTATGTCAAGGTGAGCGTTAGAGGATGCACATTCTGAACAGAGTATTATTATTATTACTATCATCTAAATTGATCAAGAGAGTATGACAACTAAACGCACGTTACATCTAGCTGACGAGAGCAATTTACCAGCGGGGACAGAGGTGGGTTCTCGATTGAAGATCGGGTCGAGTGTTGGGACAATATGAAAAATGCAAGCAACTGATTCGATGGATCGTTTACTTTAGCCATAGTTTATTTGTTAGTGTTGGAATGGCATAGAAGAATATTTTAGAAGGTGACATACGGAAAATAAATCTGTTTAGAGTTGAAACGCAACATATGGAAAATATCCCATATCTGTCTGGAAAAAGGCTATACGAAATAGTTATTTTTCTAGGACAAAGACAGCGTTTCACCAAAAGATGTCAGAATCGTATAAGAAAACAATTGAGTTAGAAATTTGTCTTGAAACTAGTCTGCCATTCGATGATTTGATCCCTAACGATTTTCTCAAAGTCATGCCAGTCTACTTTGTAAAAATGTCTTTTCTTTTTTTTATGTGTTAAAAAATTACTTTTATTAGCTAGGTCTAATATGTGTGTAGTTATTAAACTTCCTCGATAAGATGTATAATGATTTTGGTAATGATAGTAATAAGAAAGTGAAATAACTTTTTATCTATGAATTTTGCGGATATATAAAAAATATCTCTGGACAGAAAATTGAAGTTTAGCGCAGTTCGTTACGCATAACGAGATTAGCTAAAATATGCTTTTATGATATACACTATACTATATAGTGTAATATCGCCATAGCCTGTATACGATATGTCTGTATCCTGTATATATATGTCAGAAACAAAAAAAAGAGCTTTTTTTTCTATTAGAAAACTAATTAGACTGTTCCTAATCAGAACCAATCATAACACCGTTTTAAACTGCACCAACTAAAATTAATTATCTGATTATGTTTAATAAAGTTACTATTAAGCATTTGCGATATGAAAAACTAATAGCTTATAAGCACACAGTTGCACACAAATTGGCCATTGGATACAACAACTATGCCCTTCATATTTTATGTCCAGCACTTGGGCTTTTGGGCACTACTCTAACGGGCTGACTCCTTGCACCACGAATTGAGCCTGTGCCTCGAACTCAAATTCAGCCTATTACGTGTCCTTAAGTTTAACAGACAAACACGTTACTACTATTCTATAACGGGGACTTCTCGGTCGGGAGCTAGGCTTAATCTAAAATATAAGTAGATAAATGAAATAAACGCGATTATTTTTATTACTGAAAAACGATTAAAAAGCAATAATAATATGAAAATAAATACCGACTGAGGTTAGAAGTCACTTGAAAGGTAGACGCTTGATAATTTCGAAAACCATTTTCAAGAATTGAACCCGTTACTGACGTCCGTACTCTGCGCATAAACAGAAAAATTACCGCCTTCTGAACTAACTGTACGCTGTGACAGTTATACTCTTGAGCTGCAGCGTGTACACAACTAAGTTACTAACTAACTGGAAGACCAATCACCTTTCCTAGTAACTAAGGACAAATAACGTTCAGTGTTTAGCATATGAAAATGTATGAACGTACAACACGTATGTCGAAATACCCATAAATAAGATAGGAATAACGCTAAATATATTCATAAGATTAATGAATGAGTGTTATTGTTTATATGAATAGAAATATCATACGTTTTAAATCAAACATGTCGATGTTTTTCTCACGTGCCAGAAAAATGCTCATGACCTCGCTAGCCTTAGCAATCCTTACATCATCGTTTGCTTGAAAACTTTGTGCACCTATCATCTAAAGTTCACTATTATATTATCCTAACATTAGATACAAATACCCAGCTTATCACGCTGAGATTTGTTGCGAAGTAGGTGCCCTGAAAACAGTGAATGCACCTAATGATTATTTTGGCATTTTTTTTTATACGATATGGCTCATTAAAAGACCACTAAATGCAAAACGTTGGACAGACATGGACGAGGATTTTGTCAATTTATGGTATCGCCCGCCGGAGATCTTATTCCACACTTCATATGCCACCGTTTCGAATTGACCGGGCTTTTTATCATCGAGCTGAGCGAGAAAAAAACTGATTCGACGCAACGGATAAAATAAAGTTACTCAAGAACTGTCGATTTTGTTAATTGTTGAAAAAACTACGCAAGCAACTTAGTCGGTCCGTAGCCTCCTGTTATCCTCGATGAATGCCCAGTATTTGCAGCCGTCCTACGTACGATATTCGTTCCTTCTCACAAAACTATCTGTTGGAGTCAGCTTTGCGGTTCACTTAGCGATGACTAAAAATCGGTTGTTCTTTACCTTTACTCCACCTATACTTTATCTTTCGTTAAGCGTCGTTCAAACCATTAGTCCGCATACAGATGGTCTACAATCGATTACGTTTCGCCTCTTACCGCAAATTACGTATAAGCCGAGCGATACCTGCACTAGTTCTCCAGGGGAAATTTATAGCAATAAGTGTAATAACCACACTGAGGGATGAAATGTTTGTTTCTATATGCCGTCAAGCCTTCACTATAGAATGTGAGAAATCGATATAGAGGTGTTCAAAGGTCTTCAATGTGTGCGCTGTCACACGTTGAAAGTGTTTGTCATAGGATTTTTGAAGAGATTACCACTCGTGCGACAATAGTTCTCGAGCGGTTGGTAGCCGATCCGTGTGTGCGTGTTATGAGACAAACGAAAGTTTAATGCCATAATGGTTTGGCAAGTTTCTATTAAATTGTCATCTATCTACCCCACTACAGCCCTAATACATAGAGAGCTCTAAAACGACGCGGACAGGGGAAATGTCAGCACAAGTGCTACATGCATGGGTAATTTGTCAAGCTTGCCTTTACTATGATCTCTTGCCACTGAACAGAATTCTAAATTTCACATCAGCTGTGGGTTGACTGAAATACTGCCAAGAATCATTTCTTAATCAAGTGTCAAGCTTCGCTAGAGGGAACGGATAAACGATATGTTTATATACTATTAGGGGTTATGAGAGATCTTTGCTTATGTCGTTAAATAGTTAAAGATCGCGCGACTTTCGGCGTTTACATCTACGGCAACGAATGCCGTACCTGATCAAGTTTTGCATTTACCTATCCGAGAAAAGATTCACGATGCTACTTACCCAATGAAGGTTGGCTCAATTTACGACCAGCAGGCACATTACAGACAAAAGTTTACGATTCTTGCTGAGAGCCATCACTGCGAGGACAGTTGCGGACGAATATGAGGTTGTTCTTTCGATGTTCCACGTATTTCCAGCCCCTTCCCTACGCTAATCTAAATACTCTGAAACGTTAATTTAGGCATGCACTATAAATGGGCTACTGTAGAAGACGCCGTTTCTTCCTACCGCAGGCGAACTTCACTAGTTTGAATTAATTAATCAACTAATTGGAACATCTGATAAAAATGCCTGACTAATAGGTTCAATGTATTCGAAAGACTATTATTCGAAAGGAGTTAAATGGTCTCACGATAAGAGGATCATTAAGCTAGTTCAAACATTCACTCCAAACCAGCCTGGACAATCGGCTATTTACTAGTCCCGCAGAAGTTAACTAAGCGCATAGTTACTCGAAACTTAGTGCTCTGTGATCAGTGCCCGTGAAGCCGCCTAGACTTCGGACACAGTTTCTATAACGTGAACCGTTTACAACTTCATAAATCGATTTCTATAACTGTCGTTAATTAGTATGAGATATGGCCTTTCTTTTAGAGATCTCAAAGTCGAGTTAAGTAAGCGGGGTAGGCATCCAGAATTTGCGACGTTCTCTCATGTTGTCGCACACAGTGCTGAAACCTCCCAACGTCTATTGCCTACAGAACATTGAGTATTGTTTCCACGGGAGACGGAAGATCTGCATCTTTGAAGTACGCGTAACGCTCGGATTACGTCGGCGTACAGCTTTACATCTAGAATGGCCGAAATTGCTTGCATGTCTGCCTAGCTACGCTCCAGACGAAATTTCTATTGCCAAACTCGATCACATGTAAGTATCTCGGAGAAACATAAGTAAAATGGCTCTGTGATAAACATAGAACTTCAATTAGAAGTCCACATAATATTATACAGTAAAACTTTTAGTTCCTGTTAGCATTGTTAGATAAAAACCGCCATAGCGAGACATCGTCATTTGCAAATCTTTTGTTGTGTCTAATTGTTAGTGCCTCAATCAGTCCATCATTGTTTTTTATCATGATTTTTAAATATTATGAGAAATTTACGATAAGCTATTCATGACTTACATGCGCGAGTGTAAGTCCTCGAATATAATTCTAATCCTAAATAATAGTCCTCATTTTTGTTTTTTTCGAATTTTTTTATATATTTTAATGGTACTTGAGGCATACATTATATCTCGTATAATCCAGCCGGCTGTTGGGGGTTATTACAAAAGTCGTTCTGTTAGCTAAATTCATTGCAGAGTATACGCGAGAAACGGCCTACGAGACACCCAGTTCTATAGCAGCAAACGGTTCCCATAGAACCATAGTTTAGATCAAAGTACCATAAAGCGTGCAATTTTCAATAGTGACGATCTGATCATTTCGGACGAAAATTCCATTTTTGATTTCCTCATCGCCGGACTTCATCGCAGCATGAGCCAAAAAGCCAACACGTGGACGCGGTCGGTCTTGAAAAGCCGATACGATTCCCGCTCTGAAGTTCACAGTGGAGCATCTTAAAGATACGTTAGGTCCATTTAAAAATTTGACGGGCCCGAGAGCAGAAGGTGAAATCAGGCTCAACCTATTTCCAAGATTTCCTATGCACTAAACGTGTGGCTGCCTAATCCGAGTCAGGGAAAGAAAATAACTGAGGTCGCATACATTGTATTCGAATTCTGTCTTTGTTTCGGATTGCAATCATGAAGCCTAAAGTCTTTGTGTACATACGTTATGGCGTGTCCATATTAAAGGTCCTTGCCGTGAAATTAGTTTTTTTTTTTTAAATCGAACCGCGGTTTATTCGATACAGTAGATAGTCCTTTTTAAAAGCCAATAATTTTCGTACTGAATGAACAAACTCGTAACTCACCTCCTCAAGGAAAACGACAATTACTTAATGTTTGAGCAATATTGAAACGTTATAACGTTACTCCCTTCATGACCAAGCATCTGCGTCACTCTGACGGATTTTCCTCGGGAATGCCTTGCTAAGCTCAATGAATTCAGGGCTGTAAAGGATCTATTAAAAAAGGTGGGACGATTTCGTACGATGCCAGCTACATACATTACTGGCCCCAAATCTAACGTTGGATTGCTTGTAGATCTTCTTTCCGTGCAGAAAGCAATTTTTAAACACATTTAAAATATCCGTATGTACGAGCATGTGTATGTATAATGCAAAGGGCTAGGTGTTTTGCTGCCTCCCGAATTGTTTTATCGGCAAAAATTATACTGATCATAACAAAAGAAGCTTCTAAAAAGTTTTAATGATAAACGTAGTCAGTTCACAGGTGTTTTTTTTCAGCCTTGTCAACATGCTATCCAGCAGGTGGCCACTTGAACTCAAAATTCAGTTATCTTAGATTGAGAGGAATCGCACACATCGCTTACTGCCAGAATAGCTATCTCAAGGGCACTGAGCACGGAAGCAAAAAATAAAAACGATGCTTAGACAAATGTAAAAGAGACCTATTAACTGTTCCGAGTATGGTTTTATTAAATAACAGAACGTTGCAAAGAACAGTATCTCCGCACCTTGTTACCACTTCAGTCTCAAGCCGCCGTCATCGATGGCCGCTAGACCTGAAAGCAGAGGCCCTATTTAACTGGAGATTTCACTAAGTTTTTCATTTCTCTTGAAAGTAATTCCTCCGATATATTTGACCACGAATTTTCCTTTGACACCTGCAACAAAGACACGTCTTTATTCAACAAATCGTGACGCTAGATTCACTAAAAGATTATCGGTCACTGTGACAGCAGATTCTCAGGTAGAACTTCGATTGGCGGAAATGTTGCCCCGTCATTTCCATTTCTAAATTACGACAATAACGCAGTGAAAGCGGCAAACACAGAGATATATTATTATTTCTCTTACTAAATTTACTCCACCTGCCCGCTTAAGGGGGTAGGGCATTTGACAAAGATCCTTTTGTCCATCAGCCAAAACGATAGTGCGTGTGTGTGTGTGTGTGCGTGCGGCGCGTGCATGACGACCTGTGCGCATGCGCTGGGCTGAGGACAGTAATTATGAGCGTAGAAAATACCAGAACTGACGTCCTGGTACCAAATCCCAGAACAGTACGGAAATCTCGAAAAGGCACGATTCGAAGCAGGGAAAGTTATGATGAATCGCAGGTGAAATGTGGCAAGCAGAAGTACGTTTCCCGCGCAGAAACCCACACAGCGACCAGTAAGTTGACTCGAAGCACTTCTTGGAAGGGTACTATGGAAAAAAGACTAATATGAAGGATCGCTGAAGACATAGTTCTAGAGGTGTTGGCTATGTGTGAAGTTAGGTTCGTAAAGAATGGAGCACGTGTGTTATGAGTTCTATTTCTCGCAAGGAGTGACTAGTATAGTAACACTCCATTAGTTCAGATGCAGCGTCTTGCTGTTGATGCGGCCTAAGGCAGTATGTAATTTTTATCCTCATTGTAATTATGTTCCCATTACATGAACCACTACACGAACATCCTTTCATATTGCACAGATGTTCTAACTCGGTTTCTAATTAAAGATGTGTTTCCTACGTTTGTGAATATTGCGTACGCCCATATTTCATATTCGAGGAGCTTGATCTTTACGATTCTCCATAAAATTGTTTACATAACAGCATTAGTAATCGCCTATGCTATATATCGTTGCTATTATATATTACATTATATATATTTACTACATATGGAAAAATAGCTGATAGGTGAGTCATCACAGGCAACTGTGCATACGAGCTCGTGTCTGCATTTTAACACCAGGGTAAAACAAATATGATATAAAAATCGTACGAACGAAACCTTGTACTCAAGTTGGTGGCTCATCTGGCTGTACTGTTAGAAGTACGTTCACTTTCTAAGTCTCAACGTTACTTCGATTTTCGCTGCATAAATAGGACCCAAAGTGGCGCGGTAGTGCGGGAAAAAACAATTACGTCATATAAAAGTTCTCTGAACCGCTAGTCTTCCCTTTCTTTAATCGTTATTCACGTATTTCATTATGCAATTATAAGGAATTATAGCAGGGACTTTTGGAAAAATTAGGAGAAGAATCGATTGATAAAAAAAAGCCTTCTTTTATGAATTTTGCATGCACTTCGTGAAGTAGTGTTATATATATTCGAATCGGTGAGGGGAACAATCTGGATATATTCTTTTCTCAAGACTGATCTTGAAAAGTAAGACTGGTAAATATAAGCATTGCTGCAGCGCTAAAGAACCCAAACATTGACCTATTTTTAATGTCGGGATTTCAGCCCTTACGCAACACATTAATGAAAATTACCCTGCAGGAAAGCTAAGTAGCTATATGAACTGAAAAGACCTGCTTTGTCCGCTTCTAAGCCATGTGACGTTTTCCCTTTTGCAATCCCAACAGTGAACAAGCCTATGAATAATTTTCGTGCAATTTGCTTGCAGAGTACAAACAAAATAGCTAAATAAAAAATTATTCCGTTTCAAGTTAAGCGAAAAATAATGCTCTCAAAAATCCTGTAACTACTTTTTATCTAAATTTTTATATGTAAAGCCGATAAACTGTAATCACCTTTATTAAGCACTCGTTATGTAACTTCTGTATTATTCTATAAAAAAGATCTTGTTACAAAAAGAAAAAAAAAGAATCTTTCACTTTTCGGTGCTCCAGAGGCTAAAACAGAACAGCCGGCGGAGCCTCAAATCGAAGACGAGCCCATTTTAATTCCGGAGGTAGGTACCGTTGTTCCGGACTCGTTCTGGATGAACCCATTATGCAAAAAAGCTGTGGTCTTCAAGGTCTGCCACATCATCCAGATCGGTGAGGCAATCGGACAGGGGTCTTTTGGCACCGTGTTCAAGATCAGCATCGGAGTGAGTAAGATAAATTTATTGCTTAGGTTTGTTTCCTCCTACATGCAGGCGAACGCGTACATTCACTAGTTGGGCTTTTTTATTACTGCGTGCAATTTCTGGATACGTCTTTTCCTGACCCGTTAAAAAAGTCATTTTAGCTGCTTCGATGATTTACGGTGGAATTCCTAGCCACTGAATTGTCCACTCAAAAACGATTAGGATTATTGCGTCAAAGCGTACGTAAACTGACGAGATTATGTAGGAATTACATTGCCTCTGCGTTGTACTTGTTTAAAGGCGTAAAAATATTAGAGGAGCGATAGCGGCTAAACGGATAAGTCCTTCAGACGAACGGCAGTAATATTAATATCTATAGAATCTTCCCAAAATGTTACGCCGGTGTATGGCGTTCAAAGGAATAACGTCGCTTTTGTCACAGATACAAATTTGTTTGTCACAAGCTTAAAAGTTCTTCTTGCGAGACACGGCTATACAAGTCTGATTTTTTGGTATAGCGATACTTATTTTATCAAAATCTTAACGAAGCATAGGTTTTTCGCAGAATTGTAGTATATCCATCCTCCATTTTCAAGTAGATACGATTTTTCGGCATGATCGGTGCGAAAAGGTGTCAGCGTTTCAACTCAGCCATTAGAAATAATTTTGCAATTTTACTGTTGACCAAGAGATGTTTTCGTTTGATATCTGCTGCTGCTATGGTTATCCCCGAAAATGATAAGTACTGAATTGTGTATTTACTAACGGCTACTAATTCGCAAGTATTCTAGAGGGAAACGGCGGCGCTGAAATGTGTCCAGAAATCAACAGCGACACAGGATCAACAGCGGGAACTGAGCAAAGTTAAATGCGAATTCAGCGTTTGGCGGGCAGTATCCGAGCATCCAAATGTAGTTAGCCTGATCGGTTTCCTGCAAACGGACCGCAACTGGTGTTTCGTTATGGAGTTCGCGCCTTTGGGAAGCCTTAGCCACTACCTAAAGGATACCGGTTTGTCAGCCACAGCCAAATAGACCGACTGGAATAGTAAAAGTCTGGTTAGCCAGTTTCCGCCCGCGTGTAAACTATTGTCGACACTCGGGTCACGATAAGATACCATTGAATGCTTGTTTGGTCGCCAGACAGTAGCGATTAGCGAAAATGAGAGGCGCGCAAGTCGGTTTACTGATTTTTTTTTCTATTATTATTATTATTATTATTATTATATTAAACCGTCTAAACCATACACCCTGAGTGTAATCTGCATTGGATTAAAGCCTTTGTACTTTTATAGCTTACATTGTTTTTCTATTATTTGGCAATCTACAAGCAGCTCACTCACGCAAGCCAAATTGGATCGCGTAGTAGCTACGACACTTGCTGTTCCATGTGTCATCATATGATAGACTGTTTGCTTATTAGGTTTGAACCTTTTGAGCTTAGGAAGGATTAACAGCCTAACCAGGAGGATCCGAATTCATTCGCAACGATTTCTTTCTCGTCTAGAGGCGTCACAGAGACATCGGCTAGCTGGATCTGAGCACGCAACCCCCTGAGTTTATCAGATATATGGCTTATCGTGCAATGGGACTGACTATCTTTAAATTAATCTTTAAATTAACAAACATAGATTGTTTGTTGCCCTAAACACGTTATCTGTACACTTGGTACAGTACCCATGATCAAAAACAAGCTATCATAGCAATAAATTAATCGCTATTATATTACAGGGGGGCCCCTTGAAATCGATCAGTCAAGACGACTGGCTGCCCAGTTAGCTCACGCAATTCACTGTGTGCACGAAATGGGTTTCCTACATCGTGACGTGAGCTGCTCGAACATTCTATTGGTCAAGTCCACAACACACCCAAAGATGCTTGACGCTAAATTGACCGATTTCGGCCTCAGTATAAAAGGTCAAACGTCTTCGAGCCGGTGCGGATCACTGGCGTACATGTCACCCGAAGTTCTAGAACGATCGCCTTATGCAACGGATGCGGATTGGTGGTCATATGGAATCGTTGTCTACTGCATGTTCGTTGGAAGGACACCGTTATCTGTGTATGCTAAGAAGAAACACATCGAGCTGAGCTCACTCTCAAGAGAGATGAGGTCAGATGATTCGCACTACCCACATTTTATTTGACAACATTCGTCCTTTTATTTCTACCCGACTTGCAGTCGACGGCCGATGTACTAGCGTATTCAGTGATTAAGTTGTGCTTCAGAATTAAGCTTCGAAGTGCAATAGTATCATCGTACGTGGTCTTGCGTAACTACGGTTACTTCGAGGTGCACATCCAGTTTCGTTGTTGGGTATCGCTTTAGGCATCGAATCCGCTTTTTTAGGAAGTTAAAAGCCGGTACATTACGCAAGGCTGATTTCAACGTTTAGGTTTTCCACTATCGGCATTCATCCAGTGAGCACTGGACGCCGTTTGCTTGAGGCTTCGTTCGGCAACGACTGTAACATTATTCTAAAGCAAAGCTTACAGGATTAACTTGTGATTTACGCGTTCAGTAGTACAATATATAAAGAAGTGCTCTATGTTAAAACATCTTCATTATTCTTCAGGTACGAGCTGGCTAAAAATGTCACAATTCACATTACCCGTCAGCTAAACGCGGAACAGCGAGCATTTCTCATCGATATCCTGCGTGACAATCCTGTCGAACGCTTGGGAGTGTGGCGATTTTCGCACTCTGATGGACGTGTGAGCGATACGTTGGAGCCGTTTCGCCGGCACAAGTTCCTGGCCGGCTTTGACTGGGCAAACCTTGACGCTGTCGGGACTAAGTTGAAACAGCAACAACGCCAAGGTCGCAGCGGGCCCCTAGATTCGAAGGAGGACCTGCAGTTGCCATCGCTCGAGGAACGGCTTCAATCGGCGGCATGTTCGCCCAAGCTGAAATTTCCACATGACCGTAGTCTATCCGATTAGCATGAACACATTACGGTAGAAGAAGAGAAACCGCTATACAGCCATAACAGCGAAATATCTTAATTAGTTTGGTAGTAGATGAGCACAAACAACGACGACAAGCTGTGGTGATCAGTATGTTAAGATGGATCTCTTCAACGAGTCACGATTGAGTGCTTCAACTTTTGCTGTTGTCCTTACGTAGAACGGAAATAGGTCTAAATATGTGATATTTGACGCCATAGTAGAGAAACCCAGACCGCTGGGAAGGTGGGAGGACTAAAATGATAAATCTGGATTGATGCCATAACCTACATTCGGTATAGCCTTGCTTGCGACTAGACGATCCGATATCTCGTAGGTTTCGATGAGGGCCGTTGCTTGGGAGCTGGCAGTTCAAAACTAAAGATACTGTTAAAACGGTAGCAGGTTGGAAAAACAAATAATTGTGTCACTCATATGAGGCACTGACAATTTTAAGTTCAGGTTACAAAATTCGAGATTTTCCGGAGCTTAAGTTAGCTTGTAACTTTTATGCAATATTTGGCAGGTAATGGATGCTGAACTAACGACGAAAAGCTTAAGCAGGATTATAAAAAATCAGTGACGAAATAACGAGCTATGCAACAATGTATAGTAATACATCGGGCGCTTGCGGTCAGTTCCTTAGTATTCAATACTGAATACCGTCGAACGGTTTAAGCATCGTTTATGAAACATATCATATTCTTCGACATTACATGCTAATATAAGGCACCTACTGATGATCTTTTTCGGACAATAATTTCGCTCCTAGAACTTCCAGCTAAAAAACAGTCAATCTGAATTTTTCAACCATATGATAGTGTGTACCTACACAATCGTTAGCGGTCGGAGCGTATCTCGGTAGAGTTCTTAAACACGTATCGAAATGCTTTTAAGCAGCATCCGCACGTCGCCATACTTGGTGATAAACCTACGATTCGAGGTAAATTCAAAATCTATTTCTATATTCTATCACTGCGGGGGGGGGGGGAGAGGAGAGGAGAGGAGGCGAGGGGGACCACCCTTGATATATGTTATATGACAGGTGTAATTAAATAAACATGTACTGTGTCCGCAAAAACTTTCTGTGAGACACAGAACGTACTAAAGACAGTCCGTTCCGTCAGTGGAAGCTTGGTCACGAACCTACAATACATAGCCAAGCTAAGTGTAGCTTGAGGTTATTTGGTTGTCTTTCTGATATTAAGTTCGAACCAAGAGTCGGGAACCATGAAGTTGGTTGGTGAATTAAATGGCGCCATATAGAAAAACGGGAAAATTAAATATCGTGTATTGTACGCATTAGCCGCATTATGGCCGGCAGTTAGACGCACACATAGCTAAAGTAAGTTGTGGCGTAGGTTCGAATCCTGGCATGTATGACAGATCTTTTTTGTGCTGGCAGAAGTCAGTCGTCTAGTAGAATGGTTAACGACGATAGCGGACCTAAAGTTCGAAGTATGAAGGAATCAATTTCTTATCGGTGTATCAATATTTATTTCGTATACTTAAACGAACTAATTTGCTTACAAAAGTTATCTAATTATTATTAAGTTACCTAACAATTATAATATGTAGTGTTTCTCAAGATCCGTGATAACGTCCGAAAATTAGCCTTCATATTGGCTAATTTTATTGATTGAAGATAAAAATTTAAACTTTTAAACCTTTAAAATATCAATACCAAACACCTCTCCAGGATATTCTGTTCTATACCCTGCTCCATAGTGGAATTGCAAGAGTAGGCAAAGTTCGAAGAACTTATCTAGCAGGGGGCGTGGTCAGGACGAAGCACATGCTTTTATTGTTGTTGTTCGGGCGTATGTCTATGCACGCTGCGTCGCCCTGCGACAGCGCAAGATTTTAAATGTCATCCAAAGCCGCGATATTGTACGTCAAGTAAATTAACATCGAAATTAAAAATCCATATGAAAATAATACTACTCTTTTCGTTGAGTGAACGCACTCAGCCGCCAGATTTTTTCACACGTGAAACATTTGGATTCTAACCTTGGCACAGACACTTCGGCGACAGTGGACATACTCAGACATGATCAGAGTTTTATGTACGGCTCTATATAATCGCTTTAAAACCGCCTTTCAGTTCGGACAGGTTCCATATCCGCTGTAAACAGAAGCAGTTAGTCCGGCATCATTATGCGTTCGAAAGAGGTTTGAAATCCAGATCAGCTCTGTATCCGTATGTTAAGTAGGCAAACGCGTCACCGTCACAACATCACAGGAACGGGATCGTTATATAGACTCAACACGACTACGATAAAAGAAAAAAACAGCTTTATAAACAGTCAAGGCGTTCATACTCGTTTTAGGATTTCATCATGCGGACCACGTAAATCTGGTCACGTGGTCCGTACCACACGAAACCAGGTTTATGTTTTGGTCCACGTGACGCGTGTCCGGCTCGGTTAAATCTGATAAGGTTAGCCAGGCAGTAAATCAGCATAAAAGTTAACAGCTTGAGCTCCGAAGGTGACATAATGTGTGATTATATTCTATTTCTATATATTTCAGTTGTTCTTTGACAGACAGTATGGCCATTTCGTTAATGAACCACTGGCTTGTGCAGCTTTTTTCAAAGCAAATGTCTATTCGGATCAACGACACGAGAGTTTGCGGGAATTTTTTGAGGTCTGTGAGTGGAATCAATTTCCGGCCCTCCAGCTGTTCAGTTGGCCATACCGTAAACATTTCGCTTTTCTGCAAAGTCGCCTCAGTCACCGGGCCAGTAACCGCAAGCTGTACTAGTGCTAGAACGACCCACCGGTAATCTCTATGATCATTGAGATATAGGGTTATGAGCTCCTTTATTGCCCGATGAAGTGGGACTGTCGCAAAAATCCACCTATCTATCTTGTTTTTCTTTGGTGCCGACAAAATATTTGACATGTTTTGTCTAATTACTATCAAGCAACTCTGCTATATTTTGCTTTCAAGCTACCACCGATACATTTATTAAGCTGATGTCATTTGGTACTTAAGTTTCTAACGATTAAGCGATTCATGGTAAATATCTCTGATTGCTTTTATACCCAAAAATTAATATTGCTACCATGTTTCTCGTGGATTCATCCGAAAAAACACACTTTATTGCATCAAACGTACAGAATTTCCTATACGATATATAAGAAAGATAGGCTTTTTTTAGGGGCAAGAGCGATTTCGCAGCCAAGTATATAAGCCGTGCTGTCAAATTCACGGCTACCGTTTTTTTGCCGAAATGTCAGGTTTTAACTAGAAACCAGTTTGTACTTGTTGATTGATTTTAACCATTGAGTAGTCCTATCAACTTTGATATCCGCTTTTAATATACTCTAAATATAAGCAATGCACACAGAACATCCGATCTTCAGCATAAGTGACTTCAGAGTCTCTTAACACCCTATATATCACCCGATCAAGCATGAAGGCACGAGTTATCTCTTCCGTTAGCGGAAATCGAAAGCTGTTTGCCGTGCTGACACCAAATTTGTCAGGTAAATTTTTTGTGAAAGATAGAGTTCGGAGAGCGCTTATTATTGGAAAGCACATATTACGATATAAAGATCTCGGTGTTCGGAAGCAGCACGTATTTTGCCATGCGCTGATCTATATCTAAAGCTATAATATATATCAGCAGGGAAAATGTTTGCTTACCTTCAGATCAGAGACAACGAGCGCTTTAGATGATCAAAGTTGACGAAAATTAGTAATGCATTGTGTGAAAAAGAATCTAGTAAGAAATAGATGATAAAAACGTACAAAAAAAAACAATATTTTTTAAAATTCTTTGTTTGAGATTCGCATCAAACTAACTGAGCTCGACTAGATGATGACGAGTAGAATAAATAGTGCATTGTTCATCATGGTCTGCTATGGAAACTTAGACATGTTTGTTGCGGCATCGGTTTAACGACTGCCTCGTCGGAAACAGGCGCGAACGCAGAACAATAGAAAAAACAATACTAAAAAATGAGAATATTCTATTTTTCATTAGTTGGTCTATATTTTTAGCTTTTTCTTCTTTTACGGGTATTCGTATACCATTATATAATATATTTAATTTTATGAGAAGTCTCTTCTCGTAACACATATATTGGATTTAATTACTACGACGCTACTATCAACGACAATTCGTTTGTGGCCCTTGCTAATGAGTGTAAAGGACTTGTGGCGGTGAATAAAATCCTCTCTAAAGCCATATTTGCATTAAGCCATACTGACATTTGTACACTCCATGTTCTGGGTCTGAAATCCTACTTTTTTCTAGCCGTGTTATTGGTTCATCCAACAGCGTATCAATTTCTATATAATTCATACGCTGTTGGATAACATTCGTTAGCTCTGAGTTTTAATTTTCTGTACATTTTCTGGAGCACTCTTGAACGCTTCCGCAATATCCCAGTTTAGAACAGCGCCACAATTCACTGTTCTGTTATACAGTTACAAAAACACTACGAACAAATGGTGTTTTTTAACGAGCAGACGAACTTTTCGAACGTCATGCGAAAAGTGTCGGCATTTTTACAAAATCATTTCGATTATATTAAAACACTTGAATATTGTACTTGCCCTGTTTAATCGGTAACACAACTCTAAAAAGGTATTGTTTTTGACACGGCCGTGACAGACGTGCCATGCTTATTGTGGCACGTGGTCTATTATACTTTATAGAGTGAACGATGACTCTAATACCCAAAATGTATTAACTAAGGCTAGCTGGCTCTAAACACATTTTCCGGACCCCAATCGAGTGCTTTATTGGCGCAACGTAAAATTACAAGAATATCTTCATATACGATCCTGACGACGTTCGCTATAAACACAATGGACGCGTTGTTCCATAAACAACCCTTGATCAGCTACTAAGATCTATTTTTATTGCTTATTTTGAAACATGCTTTCTATATCCAGTACTCAAGACGTTAAGCATTGTGTTAGACGGCCGCCAATTCCAGCATAGAAAGAAGCGGCCCGAATTCGAGCCGAGATTACGACGTTTCTCGTTCGATGTACCGGGAAAGCGCGTTGTACAGCGTCCTATGACGAGGACGAGTTTATTTCAGATGAAATATATCTTTTTTTCTGTCGCTGACGACGCTAATTCAGCCTTGCCAGCCTAGAAAGTATTCAACTTACGAGAGGTACATTAGATTACTGAGGAGTGTAATAATAATAATAACAACGAAGCAGTAACCGTCCGGGTATGCCTGCTGTTCTCGTTGTGGCAGCCTCGAACGTTATGTAAAATGGCAGGTGTCGATACCAGTACGAGACAGTATTTTGAAACTGTCT